GGCGGCGAGTACGAGCAGCTGATGCGTGCGGCGGCGCGCTGGCTGTGGCGGCAGCTGGCGGAGGCGCAGCACCCTGAGCTGGCGGAGGCTGCTGGGGATGCACTCGCTGCATTTAAACTGGAAGACTTCACACTCGCCGACGTGCCGGAGGTAAACAGTATGAATGTGCTATAGTCCGTAATGTTGGTAAAACAGTACGAAGATGTTATCTGTGATACGTTAATGTCGGTAAAACAGTACGAACATGTTATCTGTGACACATTGATGTCGGTAAAACAGTACGAACAAATGAAACGGATAGATGTTTGCTTGGAAATGGCAGATTTTGGTTCGTTTAAATTCAAACGCGCCTGCTAAAAAAGACGGTTAACTATCTCTATTATAAGTTATTATTTGTACTATGTATAGATATTCAGAAGCACGGTGCGGCTGCCGGCCTCGTACTGCAAGACCCCGGCTGATGCTGCGAGGAAACCCGAAGAGGTGCTTGATTACATACCATGTAAGTTATTTAGATTGCCGGTGGATTGAAAGGTGGAGAAAGACTGAAAAAAGTATGCATGGATTGTGTGAAAGGGGATATGGTAAGGAAGGAATGAATTGACGGCTTATAGAGATTGTGCAAAGGCAAAATCTCATCTAGATTGATGAGAATTATTAAATAAATTTACTTTCTTTTTTAGTTTTATTTGGTAATCGATGTAAGGTTGGTTGTTAAGAGAGTCGACGGCTGGGTTTTCTTCTTTATGATACTAGCTAAATTAGGTTTTGCGACATCTAGCGATAATTTTAGACAGTTTGGTTTAGGCCTATAAGGGTGGATTATTTTTTTTATCTTCCACTTAGCCTTTAAGGACAAATTATGATATTTGGCCTTTGAGGGCAAAATATGATATTCATGTCGTATTTGGCCTTTGAGGGCAAATTATATTTTTATCCTGCGTTTGGCGTTTGAGGGCCAATTATGAAATTTATCTTGCACTTTGCCTTTGAGGGCAAACTTTTTGTTCTACTCTACATAAACTCGGCTCAAATTGAAGTGCAAGCTTGTTTGTGCAGGCGAGGTGTGGGGCGAGGTGTACCGCTGCGCGCGGGGCGGCGCGCGCGGCGCGGGGCGGCTGGCGGGCGCGCTGTGCGGCGCCGAGCTGCGCGCGTACCGCGGCGGGCTGTACAGCACGGAGGGCCGCGGGGAGCCGCGCTCCTACGCCCACCTGCAGCCGCACAGCGTGCTGCGGGGACTCATGGACTGCTTTAGGAAACAGGTTATATTTACTATATTACTTACTAGCTTTCGCCCGCGACTCTGTCTGCGTGGAAATTAAGAAATTAAAAGTCTATAAAAAAATAGCTGTGTTCTAACAGTCTATCCGCTATATCTCTACCAAATTTCATCGAAATCCGTTCAGCGGTTTAGGCTACAAACTCTAACAAACATCCATCCACCCATCTATCCATCTGACCATCTAAACTATAGTAATTTATTTAAAATACATGTAAAGCACACACACATTTCTTTGTTATGTAAGATATCAACAATCACATTATATTTTTATCTAATTCTTTTTTCAATTCCAACCTCTACACTTACAGCACGTTATAGGCTATATATTTTTACTTATAATCTTGTATATTGAAAAAAAAAACGAATGCCAGTCGATGGCATAAATAGCAGTTTTAAATAGACATATGATAACCGAATTCGAAAGGTGGATAACTCTGTTTGGGAACCTGTACCCAGCAGAAATGCTGATAGGATCTTTTATTCCAGGTGACGTCACCCACGTTCGAGTACTCGGACGAGGTGCTGCTGGCGATGCTGGAGACGCTGTCGCAGGAGTTCCCGAAGCCACTGCCGCCGCTGGAGCTGTGCTTCCTGCACGAGGCGCTGCACCGCGGGCGCGCCTGGCGCAGCCTGGGGCTGAAGCTGGCGGCGCGCCAGGCGCCCGTCTCGCCCTCGGCGCGCCGCCTGCTCGACAACTTCCTCGTGGGGCTGCAGCCCGGCCTCTGCGATGTAACTAACATATATATACTAGCTTCCGCCCGCGACTCCGTCCGCGTGGAATTAAAAAAAAAAGTAAGTAGCCTATGTTTCCTTCCAGACTATCCTCTACATCTATTCCAAATTTCATCAAAATCCGTTAAGCCGTTTAGGCTACTAACTCTAATAAACATCCATCCATCTAAACTTTCGCATTTGTAATTTTAGTATGATATATCTATAAACTAAATGTTGTTTGCAACTTCGTCTACGTGAAATAAAAAAATAATAAAAAGAATCCTGTTACTCCGCGATAACGTCGTTTTTAATGGTGTAATTTTTAAATCGGTCCAGTAGTTTTTGAGTTATTACAATACACGGGAATGTTTTATGCTAACGAAGTTTGCGGGCGACAGCTATAGTAATATTATGAAGAGAAAATATTGGCATTTTTGAATTTGTGTATGTATTGAAATAACTCAAAAACTACTGGACTGATTTCAAAAATTCTTGCAACATTTAAAAGCAACTGAGTAACGTAGGCTACATATTTTAATTTCACACGGACGAAGTCGCGAGCAACAGCTAGTAACATACTGTAATTTTTAAACTATATAAGTTTATTTTTGTTTTTATAGGAAGCCGATGTAATGTTAATATTCGAGTACTTACACATACTATGTCGTGGTATGCCCCCCAACTCCCTCCGCGGGCCTCTAGAGCGTTGCTTAGGAGACTCCTTCTCCTCTCTACCTAAGGCAGTGGGAGAAGAGGAGCCCCTCTTCATCCAGCAGCTGCGGTACATCCAGCAGGCCCTCGCCTGCGACAGGATACATGACGCCAACAGAACTCTTCTATCACAGATTGTGGAGACTTATTTTGATGTCATCCCCGAAGATAGTGTGGTAAATTATTTATCCTATTATTTTTTGCTTTAAGCAAGTAGTCATCCTTTTTCGTAGCAACCATCTTAGATTTATGCTTCTGTGTTTTTTCTCAAGCCTTTTGTTATTCATGTTGGCATGCAATGTTATCCGCCAGTTTGTGACGGCGTTCATTTTCTTATTTTATATGTACCATAGTGTACTGTACCGTGTTAAGGTCTTTATGGACGTAAAAATGTATTTATTACAGAGATATTTCTTAAATTTTGATATTTGGTCCTTGGAGTCGGAACGATTATCGACTTTTTAATAGTTTTGGTCTTTATAGCATAGTGTTAGAGTTGTATTTGCAATGTCGGTAGGCGTGGGAGGCGTACGTGTCGTGTTGCGTGCTGTTGTCCAGCAAGTACTTGGAGCGCATGACGTCACCGAGCGGGTGGTGGGAGGTGTGCGCGGGGCGGCTGCGGCGCGCCTGCCGCGTGCGCGCCGCGCTGCCCGCCGCGCTGCCCGCCGCCCACTGCCGCGCGCCGCTGCACTGGCTCAACGAGCTTATAGACGCGTGCGCACAACTCCCCTCGTAAGTATACAAGGCAACATGTAAAATATGTAGTAGAAATATCAGATTTTGTTACCTTATCTGACAGACATTTTTGAGCTATCTGAACCTTTATCAGGAAGTGGTGGGACAGGCTCTAATTATACCACCACTGATTGATAGACCCTTAGATAGCGTTAAATTTTCACTGTCAGATAAGAGAACAAAGTTCGAAATTTCCATCACATATGTGAGACAAACCCTAACTATCACACCACTGGCTGATCTCAAATAAGGGTACAAAATCCGGTATTTCCACCATATACTTTACATGTTCGATTGTTATCAGACAATTTACAATTTACTAGTAGTGATATTTTAGCCTTACCAGATAACAATTCAATGTATGTTTGATTTATCGCTTGAGTTTAATTAAAATTTTACATTTTAGGTTAAAAATTAAAAAAAGCTTAAATAAATTTAAAAAAGTCTATTATTGTACTGTTATTATTTTTCTACATATGCCATGTAAACCTACAATTACGACAAATTATCTTCATGTTACTCAATGAAAAAGTAGAAAAGGGTGAAAAGGGCGTATTCCCGTGCAGGGTGCAGGAGTACTCCCTTCAGTGCATGAGGCGGGCGCTGCAGGCCGCGCCGCACGCCGCCAGCCCCCGCGACTGGCTGCTGCAGCTGATGGCGCGCACGCAGGTCGCCTTCAAGGAGTAAGTTGTACTAGTACTTTGAATACTGGAAATACTTGAAATAGCTTGAAAACCAGCGACACTGGATCTTCCAGGTTTAGCTGAGCCCTCTTCTGCCAAATTTTTTGTATAATGTTTTTGATGGAAATGACTGAGTTGATGGAAGATAGAGTTATTAGGAGGACAAAAACCTGTTGCGCTACGGCAGTAGGTTAAAAAGAAGATTGCTGTTCATTCTCAGAACGGAGGATGAATCAGCGAAGCTGTACCTGTGCGAGGTGTTCATGCTGAGCGTGTGTGTGCTGAGCGGCGTGTGGCGGCTGCCCGCCGCCGCGCCGCCTCCACTGCGCGCGCTGCTGCCCGCCGCGCTCGCCGCACTGCTGGCCAGGGAGCAATGGAACAGCTGCACGCTGCAGGTATGTAGCAGCTCCCTCGCCGCCTGCACTGCGCGCTGCTGCGTCACTATTTTGGTAATATGTTAAGGCAAACGAGCATGCGACCACCTAAATCCGCTAAAATGGCGAAGCGACAGCTGCCTATTGGCATCTGCAATTGCAGATGCGTTGCCTACCTTTAATCCACGGAGGAGGATAAACATATAAAAAAGATATTTCCCCTTCCTGTGTCTCCTCCGCCGTCAAATCCACTTTTCAATCTCAACCTTTCCTTATAAAATAAAGGTGGTAAGAGAAAGGGACTTTAATTAGGCCTCTGAAAGAATAGAAAAATCTCGGCCGCTTTAAATGTGTTAATCATCACAGAAAGGGGATAATTTTCCTATCAATCCCCCGCCCAATCCATTCTAATCCTTTCCCAGTGCGGAACGGAAAGAGGAAGTGGATAAAAAAGAAGTCTGCAGGTGTATAGGTCCCTCGAGCCGGATGCGGGTGTCATTATTAGATAATGTTTCATCAGGTATAGAAGATAAGGTATAAAAGGTTAGTATGGTATGGGCATGTTATGAAGGTTGAATCGCATGTTACAAGAACGTTAGTTATGAGTGTGGGACACCGGTAGAGGTAGACCTAGAAAGAGATGTATTGTGTGAAAAGTGACATGATTAAGGGAGTGATGACTGAGATGACGTATGATAGTTATTTGAAGGAAAAAACCTGTTGCGCCACTACGGGAGTAGGATGATGATGATGATGATGATGAATGTATCATCAGGTGTTAGAGTGGCTGTGCCACACGCGCACCGCCACTAAGGATGCGGCGACGGCGCGCAGCTGCCAGCGCGCACTGCTCGCACTCAGGCACACGGAGCAGTTCACCTCGCACAATATATGGATCAAATTGTAAGTTTTGTGTTCAAAATTCATATTAATATTGTATACTAACTGTTAATCGCGACTCCATCCGCGTGGAATTAAAATAAACAAAAGTTTGCCTATGTGTTCTTCCAAACTATGGTCTACATCTATTCCAAATTTCAACCAGATCCGTTCAGCAGTTTAAGCTACAAACTCTAAATAACATCCATCTAAATTTTCTCATTTATAATATACTAGCTGTTGCTCGCGACTTCGCCCTGAAAATTGACGCTTTGACTTGAAATTAAAAAAATTGTAACCTACATATATTACTCACTGATATCGTAGCTTTATTGATGGAAAAAATTTTTGAAATCGACCCAGTAGTTTTCTAGTTATTTCAATACATACAAAAATACAAATGTATCCTTTATAATATTAGTACAGATTTTACACATTGGTATAAATGTAGAGGATAGTCTGGAAGAACACATAGGCTGCATTTTTGCTTTTTTTAATTCCACGCGGACGGAGTCGCGGGCGAAAGCTAGTATATACATGTGTATTTTGTTTCAGAGAGAGTCAGTTTGCTGTGTCGGAGGTCGGCAGTGCTGATGATTGAAATGTGCCTAATATATTGCTTTGTGCCTTATACTAGTCTATATTAAAAATGTATAATAACCACAATTTTTTATATATTAATATAATAAATGAAAATGTACTGATTGTTGATTAAATGAAATAAGATGTTCTCTGTGACTGTTATGATCTGATTAATATTTTGTCTGTTTTAGGTTATGTAACTATGTTATTTAAGTAAGAAATATTGTTGTAAACATTTAAGTTATGATGAATATAAACATTAAATAAGTTAAATAATTTTATAGCGTTTTTTATTTATAGTCATCATTTATTTTCATCAATATTCAAGTTAAGAAACTTCACCTACAAATTGAAATGCAGCATTCTCGAGAGCTTTGCTTAGGTTTCGATAAAAACGGGATAAACAGCAAGTGTAATACTTTCAAAATGGTGTAACTGCTAAGACATCATAATAGATCTAAAAAAATGAAAAGGTTTTGTCTATACTAATATGGAGAGGAAGGTTTGTAGTTTTGTACGTATTCGATTCACGTAAAAACTGGGCCGATTTTAAAAATCCTTTCACCATTAAAAAGGCTATATTTTTTTTAATTCGACGCGGGTGAAGTCGCGATCAGAAGCTAGTGTTATTGTATTTCATAGAATAAACTATCTGATATTGGGTTTTGAAAAAAAAAACAATAACGTAGATTTTTCATTTATTAAGATGAAACATGTATCTATTAATCACTAACTTCACACATAAATACTATAGTTCGCGTCATGTAAAAAGAACTAACGGCAACTGGGCATTGGACGATTTATTGGTGTATTAGGTGATGAGGTGAGACGCGCGGCAAGTTTCCCGGCCAGTGTTGCCAATGAAAATTTTTACCCGGCCGTGTTCATCGTGTAAAAAGTTTCTGTATGGGAAAAGATCATAATTTACTGTTTCTATTTAATTAAACTTTGCATAATTAGTCAAATAGTCGTTGTTCTTTATTATATTTTTTCATCATTTTTTTTATGATATTGTATCTAATATCTATGTTTGTAATAAATAAAATAAAAGTGAAACGCCTAGTGATTTCGTGCGTGAGTGTAGCAATGCGCAAATGGTTTCTTCCAGTCTTCTTATTACAAGACGCGCCCATTTTTCACTGACAGTTGACAATCGTAATTACCACAGACTATAAAATTAATTCGAATGTACACAGTATGGACATACATTAAAAAAGTAAGTTTATTTGTTATTTTACACATATATACAAACACACAACAGTTTCTTATTGAAAATATATACAATTAGGAAAAGTGGATTAAATAAAAAATTGAATCGAATATACACAGCATGGACATACATTAAAAAAGTAAATAAATTTATTTAATCTCTAATTCTCTTCTTCACTAATATTTGAAAACACTATCACAAACGTCACTATATCACTATTTCCTTCTAGATGTCCAGTTTGTATTCTGTTCTGTGCTGTGCCGCACCACGTCAGAGCGTCTTGGCGTCGTGGCGGGCGCGCCGGGCTCACACGGCGGTCTCGTCGGGCGGGGGCTTCGCCGCGGGCTCTGTGGGGCTCCGCACCGGCACACGGATTATCTCATCCTCCATTTTTGACTCCACCGGCATGTTCTGCACAAATATTACAATATTTGAAATAGATAAACAAAATCTATGAATTATATCATTAAAATTTCAATATTATTTTTAAAATGAATAGCTTGTTTCAATTAATATCCTATATCGAATTCAAATGGCATTCTAAATTATGAAATAATGGACTGTTACACTATATTGATTACTGATTCACCATAGTCTTCCATTATAACTGCTTTTGGAAATTTGGAACTGTGTTCCTAAGTATTATTTCAAATAGGTTAGCTTTATAGGTGTTTTTATTCATAATACAAGTGTTTGTATGCATATGTAGTCAAGTAAATCTGCGGTTTTCCATTTACAGGAAAAAAATCTTTGTTGCTTGCATAGAAGCTAGACCTATATCGTGAGGGTTTCCTAACTAACTTCTAACAAATGACAGATAGCGGTGAGTTGCGTAAACAACAGAATAATAAAAAAGCTCCATGTAGTATGTCATACAGTCACATTTTAAAGTCTTTTGGTTATTGTTTCCGATAAACATTTCAATGTATACATAATGTTTAGATACAGTAGCCTTTAAGTTGTAAAAGTGTTCCCCACGGTACCTCTAGCGCGGTGTAGTGGTTGTGCAGCACGGCGGGCAGCTTGGCGGCGGGGCGCAGCAGGCGCGCCGGCCGCCGCTGCGGGCTGTCGCGCGGCGAGCCGCGGCACGCGCCCACGCTCTTCAGCAGCCGAGCGCTACAACATCCACCACCTCCTTATCCTACTCCCATACCCACCGAGTTCCACCTCCAGGTTCATCTATCGTCCATCATCACACAATCCATCCATCTCCTTGTAGATCCACCTCTACTGGTGTACTCGACACTACTTAATTCTGTAGCAACATATTATTTTTTACACAAAACAGATCTATGCAACAAAACTTACTTGGTAAATAAATAAACAACCCCAGAATAGGAGAGATATCTGATTTCAATGGCAACAGTGACTAACTTCACTTTTATAGCATAAAGTGGCAAAAAAATGCCACCTGAGTTTGCTGAAAGAGCAAAGCGACCATTGCCTTTAGACATTGAAAGCAGGTGCATACCTTTTCCTTCCATAGTAATCACAATCATCTCAAAACATTATTACAACATAGTATTCCCCTCATAAAATTAATAAACACAGAACAAGTTCACAACTTACGCATCCAATAACTTCAACAGCAATCTCGAATAAGCTCTGTACTCATCATCCCCAAACTCAGCGGGATGATGTCGGGCACACTCATATGTATCACAGAACTGATGCACCAGCTTCTGTCCGCGGCCGTCCAGTGGTGCTGCTAGAGATGACAGCAGGAAAGAGCGCAGCGATTCACGCGGACGACGACGCAATCCTGGGTCCTGACGGGCTATTTCTTCTTCTGTAATCAGGGACCAATTATAAGGGGCTAGCTTTCTCAACTCTCTCTCTCAACTCAGTGTGGAATTAAAAAAAAAACAAAACTGAGTAGCCTATGTGTTCTTCCACACTATCCTCTACATCTATGCCAAATTTCATTAAGATCTGTTTAGCAGTTTAGGCTACAAACTATAACAAACATCCATCCATCCGTCTGTCTAAACTTCCCATTCATAATATTACTAGCTGTTGCTCACAACTTCATCTGCATGAATTAAAATTGTAGCCTATGTTACTCACTGATAATGTAGTATTATGGTCAATGAATTTTTAAAATTGTATTGTGCCCAGTAGTTTTTGAGTTATTTCAATACATACAAAATTCCAAAAATCGTCTTTATAATATTAGTATAGATAAAGGATAAGTCTTAGATATTCAGCATTAATAAATATCTTGTAAAGGAGAATGTTTTAAATTAGTTTAATTTTTTTTAACATAAGGTGGCAAACGAGCAAGCGGTCACCTGAATCAGCCAAAATGGCGAAGTGACCGCTGTCCATAGACATCCGCAAATGCAGATGCGTTGCTTACCTTTATACGACAGAAGAGGAGACGCACAAAAAGATATTTCCCCTTCCTATGCATCTCCTCCACCGTCAAATCCACTTCCCCTTCCCATCCTCTCCTTATAAGAAAAGGGTGGTAAAGAGAAAGGGACTTAAATTAGGCCTCTGGCACCACACTCATCAGACGAAACACGGAATTGCTTCCATTTCACGCCTGTCTTCTGTGTGGTTGTGGTGTTACACCGGGCGTGCCGGCCCTACAGTGCTAAGATGTTAAAGCGGACACTACCACTGTTAAAATAATATTTAACATACCTAAAGTCTTAACATCATCCACTGCTCGGAATCTGTAGTGGTAAGGCTGCTGCGGCTCTAGGATGTAGTGCGATGGCTCCGCGCTCAGGAGACGAGGTTCTGTCACTATGCGAGGAACTGCTTCTATACGTCTTTCTATCTCTTTCTTCAAACTCTGTTGTAAAACACTCATATTCATATGTTTTATACATTTTAGTGCTTGCTTAGTTTCTATAATGGAAGAATCATATAATTTTTCTTGATCACAATTATTAGGTACAAAATAAGTTACCTTTTTCGCATCCGCACCAATTGGTATATGAGGCCCTCTACGAGACCTTAGAGCAAATCTAGTAATTTGCCTTTTCGCAAAAATAAATAATATCACAAATGTTAAAACACCGCCACTTATTATAAATATAATATTCCTTATACTTGTAAAGGCCTGCATATTTTTTTACATAGATTGAATTTTTATCAACTGTAAAAAGTTATACTTTTAATCAAAATGAAATAAAACCGAACAATTTGATTTTCATTTCTAGCTGTCAACTGTCAATGTCATTATCGATTGTTTTTGTTTGTTCTTTGCTTTTTATGCCACAGGTTTAGCGAGTATTCTGCCATGCCCAGATTTATTTTTACAGTTTATCTCTCTTTATATTAAGAGTGACCGGATTAATTTAATAACTTCGTTATTTGATATTTTATTTACTTTACTACTTAATGAGAACATTTAAAAAAAAAATTTTCGTTTTCGTATGTCGTAATCACCCGCAATGTTTTCTCCTTATGCCATTTTTACTTTTAGCTTCATCAAGTTAGAATTTCGTACCATTAAACAAAAAGTAACAAGATGCTTTATAAACCTTATAACACGAATCAATATTACATTTAGGGTCAAGCAAATAAAACGTTGTAAAACAAATAAACAGACCTGTGACCTGTTGTTCAATACATTTTACCGATTCGAAATTCTCTTACGTAAAGATCTCAGAGGTGTATACTAGATTTGTTAGTCTTGGGTTTATTTTTGTCAGTTCAATGTTATAAACGTAAGCACACGTAAAATTGCAAAGAAAGAAATAATACAAATGACTTTAAACAGTAAATAATAAATCTGTTAATACCCTAAATTACTTATTTTTTTATAAACATTAGTAACAAAAATCTTTGTTTCACTTTATATTAGTAAGGAATAAAATCATTTTATAAGTTCCAAGCGGCACAATGGTTCAGTCGATATGCATAAAACTATGCACGCATTTTAAAATGTTATCGTTCCTAGAAACGCCTTATTATTAATTCATCGTATATCATACACGGCACATACAAGCCGTACACAAATTCCATCATCATGATTCTTTCTATTGAGCGTTGGGCGAGCCACGAACGAACGTCTTTGGCGGGAAACGAGACTTGAATACTGATATTCAATATGGCGGCGACGTGCGGTGACCAATCGTTCCAATACGGACTGTCGATTGTTCAACTAACAACAAATGGTTTCGTCGACGAATAAGGACAACTATATTTCCATTATAAAGTTGCTTCGAACATTAAAGAGTAAATTGACGTATTTACTAAGCTATATGAGACCTCCAATGAGTTCTGTTTATCACTAGATATTGTCTACCATAGTAATTGCAACATTATTACAAAACAACCAGGTAGATATATATAAACCGTGGTCTAACTCTAGATTTTAACACCCACACATTTGCATATATAGTAAATAGGTTTGGCCAATGTAGTCACGGTCCAGAATACGGTACCAGCTTTCTGGGAAGAACAGAGATATAAAGGACAGAAAAGGAAAAGGTTTCGGTCTTACATTCGCCCAAGTTATAAATGATTCTCACAACATACCAAACTAAATACCTACCTCGTTTAATTCAACTCATCTTATCGTCTAGTAACGGTGTTCTCAGGAAGAAAGTTCTATATCCAAGACCATATTGAAGACACATTTCGTCTGACGAGTGAGGATGAGGCCTATTCACCCTTTCCTGATTCGTACAAGCAAATACTGGTAGTTGGGGTAGTTAATTTTGCGAGGGATAGGACTAATATCTGGGGAAATTTTCACTTTTTGTGAGTCCCCTCCTCTGTAAGTTAAAGGTAGCCAAAGCATCAGCAAACGTAGATATCTATTAGCAGCGTTCGCTTAACCATTTTACTGAAATCCGTCGGTTTATCACCTTATACTATAAAAAAAACTTACTGAAGTAAAATTACATTATGGATGGATAATGTGTGGGGTAAATTACTGTAAATAAAGTCAATTTTGCATACCTTTTATAAATTAGTTACTTCTTTATCAAGGTAACTATATTAACATTACGGTGTAGTCGTGAACTTGTGTTTAGCGCCGAAACGCGGGCGGGCGGCAGGGGGCGGGCGTCCATCTTGTGACGCGTCACCGGCGATCCATTTTGACATGTTCCCGCTAAAACCGACGACCTTGAGTGTTACAAGTACACACTTGTTATGTAACACAATACACCGCTTTTAGATATTGTATTCGCTTATTAGCTATTTTATACGGGTTACAAAGTAATTGGAAACAGCCTCAAACACAAATGTCTAATAAGTTGTCCGACTTTCGGCCGCAAAGTTATGTAAAGGTTATGTACGTACCAGGCTAGTAATTTAATCACGTGCTGAGTAATTTAGTAGCAAAAAAATTATGAAAATTCAGTCGAATAGATTAGGGAATCAATAGAAAAAAGTGATTTAGCTATTTAATTACTTGACTAATTTACTAGTCTGATGGGAACTAGACAATAGTGGACGATAGTAGACAATAGGAGCCGCCTATATCCAACTTAGTGGCTGTTTGTTCATAAGCCAACTTCTAGTTTAAAAATGTAACCGATAACCATGTCATGGAATTGAACAAAAATGCCAACGTTTTTTTGAAGGTTAAACAAATAATTAGAAGTCGTGTACATTTGTATTCATAAGGATGTAAATAGTTAACACTTAAAATTACTTCAAGTGTTACCATGCTATAATAAGGTTGTATAATTTGTGTATGAAATTTTCCCTAAAAGTTGTACTTTGGAAAAATACTTTATTTTATTTTAGATTTTTTTATAATCACCTAATTCAGAAGACAATATCTTTCCTACCTACCTACTTCTAAACGAACTTTCAAAGTTTCCCTTTTGTTTCTTATGTCATTATTATATTGTTTGACAAGTGAAACTTGTAGAACATACGGGACGATATTGCGTTGCTGATCTAACTACTAGTGTTAAACTTTGTTAATATAAAATATTGACGAGTACCTCAAGTTATACAATAAAATTTGTTGTAAAAACTCAGAAAAAGAGAAGACAAAATTTCGTATCATCATCAGCTCAACACGTGTCGTCATCGAAGGTGATCCTACTCTAAGGGGTGACTAGACCTTAAACCACGCTGGCCCACTAAGGATTGAATTCACGCCTTATTTTTGACTTTTTCGCAGATATGTTTCATCACTATGCATGTATCTACAAAATTACCTTAAAAACTACTGGACCGATTTTAAAAATTCTTTCACCATTAAAAAGCTACGTTATCAATGAGTAACATAGGCTATATATTTTTTTATTTCCACTCGGATGAAGTCGCGAGCAACAACTATTATCTAGTACTTTGAGAATATTGGACCGTATGTTCTATGTACCGGTGACACCGCATGCGTATGCGCAGCGCGTACAGATCCTTGTACAATGGCGTTGGTACGCGTAAGTATGCACTGTCTCCCCCCTCGGTGCCTCTTGCCCACCCCCGCTACCCTTCGCGATGGTAATTCACCGCCACAGTAATATAATTACCATTAACACCTTGGTAACTAAAGTAAACCGTTCTTACTAATGTCTAGTTCGCACTAGTAATTAAATCCAGCCAGTAAGTAAAACGTGAGGTTCGGACCTAAGCCTGGGATGACTAGCCCATAGTCAACCACGCTGGCCTAGTGCGTGTTGATTGGGTAATGTTAGGATGAAAATCGGGCAACATTAGAACATCGGCATAGACCCGTCCCTATCTGACAGCTGTCAATGGCGGGAGGCAGTTGCCCGAGTGGTTAATTTAATTACTTTGTTACAGTTATATTTACGTCCTCAGAACAAATATCTTTGAATTTCTTCGCCGTCATGTGCAGGTTGCAATACAATGTTTACTCTCGCCGTAAGAACGTCAGGAAAATTATGTAACTACATTTAAATTCGAAAAAGCGAAAATCACATTGGTTTATTACTTCGAACCCAAGATCTGTAGATTGCAAGTCAAGTACTTAATCCCCTGAGCCACCGATGCTCTTAAATTACTGCATTCATAATAATAATTTCAAAATTGTAAACAGTAAAGATGAATTAAATATATTGTTAATTTGATAAACAATAAATGTGGGCGAAAGTTGTTTCGAAGGCCACGCCTACAGCCACGAGTACTGCTGGGCTTAGCTCTGCCTACTGTAACGATGGTAATCACACACAACCTTTCACACTAACCTAAAAACAATTTTCGAACTCGAAACGGTTTACCAATACTTTTAATAAGCATTTTTTATCTATCTATTGTCTATTAGAGCGTGAAGGGATAATTTTGAACATCATTTTATGAGTCTATGCAAGTTCCATCATTCAGTCATGTAGTTTTATTTTCTTTATTTTTATAGGATTTTGGTTCCTTAGTCAGTTCCTTTTGTCAGTCCCGTAATCATACTATCATACTAGTTAATATTATAAATGCGAAAACTAGTAACCTTAAAAAAACAAAAAATAGGTAGAAGACAGTCAATTTATAAATAAAAAATTCTATGCATTTATATTTATCTATGCATTTGTAAAATTAATAAATCAAAAATAGATATAGAGATGTACTATGTTACTCGCAGTCGGCTCAATGAGGGCGTAATTGCATGATTAACTGAATGAGTCATTCGTTACATCATGAATCCATTCATCAGAGATCTTCGGTCCCAGAGCCGCGCCTACGCGAGATTCTACGCATGTGAGTAGATGCGAACCAATAAATACACTCAATCTGATAATATAAGCTTTTTTGCAAACGCACGGCGGAAACACCATTGGACACAACACTAGAGGCATTTTACAGTTACATGTTAAAAAATTAGCCTTCTTAGTAATTTAGGTACATAGAGAAATAGAACTTATTGCAAAGGAGATTGAAATCGTTAAAAAAGGTTGAATATATCGAATTTTACGGTTTAAACCTTGTTTAGCATAATAAGGGAAAATTTAATATTTTCTTAAATAAAAAATTTCTTAAGACGTCCCTTAGTTATGTTAAGTCATGCGTTTGCTTGTACTGATAAAAAACTAGAAGATAGTCGAATTCGAACCTAGGAATCAATCTTGGTTTTACTATGCGTAATCTAACCTATTTGAACGCTTCAATATTGAATCATTGTCAACTGACCGAAGAGAAAGCGTGTTTGGATAAATAGAAATTACTTTTAGTATGCGAGAATTATGATTGTGACTTTTATTTGTATTTTCAGTACATATAAACTCAATAGAATTTTAGAAAGAAGTGTTTAATTATTTATTTGAAAAACTATTCAAGTGGGTTATTCCCCAGTTCCAAAATCTTACGCAATATAATTAAGGTTCCTAATATTCCGTAACGTAAACGCGTTACTTGTCTAATCAAAATTGGAAGAAAAATTTCCATTGTACATGTATTTTTCATTAAATAATTATGAGTAAGCTTTTACCGAATAATAGTTTGACACTTCACCGTCACACGGAAGCGTATGAACCATCATGTGAATTTAAATGAGACATTTCCTCGTAACCCTAAAGCCAAAACTGTCCAACGGAAACCGACCAGGATGTCCTCTCCCCTTATGGCGCACTGTCTCCTTCGCATCCAGACAGACTTATAACCACCTCAACGCTTTAATATATGGCGGTATCGGCCATTTTATAACACTTGCGCGTGCGTCGCTTCCTGCGACCGAAGGAGCGCTACCTACCCATTGTTTCGTAGGAGGGGATCTATGTGACCCGAATAATGATAACCTGGCCACTTTAACTGTCGAAATGAAAAAAAACTTATAGGCTCCGAGTTATTTTTTAAATTTTAATTTATTCCTTTGACGACAACAGATTCTTGGGGCGTCCCAAAACAATAGCTGGCAGGTAAACTCTGGAACGTGTGAATGGAAAAACTAACATAATTTAAGGTGTAAAATGCTGTAGCTAAAGATCTACGTTGTACAAAGATGAATTTCTAATGAACTTTGTCTTGTTTGTTTTTGTCTGAGAAATGTGGGGTTAACAAAATTATTACAAATGGAAATAATGTTAAATTACTATTGTTGACGTTAACGGAACCGTAACTGAAAAATTATCAATAACGAAAAGTTAATAATAACTTTGAAATTATCGGGTCATTTGATGCATATGAACATGTTAGATCAACTTCTCCATTGGAGGATTGGAGTTTTTCATTACATTGTTATGGATGCTTCTATAGGGTTACCATAATCAGGGGAACCCCAAGAAAAGAGTACATTATACTAATTGCACAAAATTTGGCAAAATAAGTTAACCCTGAGCTTGAAATATACGAATAGTTGGGGAGGCAATGGTGTTCTTACACGCATTATGTAAGTTTTTAATACCTACATATTGGTTATATGATGCACGTGATGTAATGGAATATAATAATATCGGTCTATAATATGTAGTTACCAACTTTGGTGGACTATGGGCACCTGTGATAATAAAATATCCGTTGGAAATATACCCACGTCAAATTTAAGGAATATTTTTCTTATGCCTTATGCTAGTTTAATGACAAGTACCTACATTGAGTGTCTAATTGGTATTCATCTGAGCGCGTGTAGACCACGCCGCGGTGGGGAAGGGTTATTAGCCGGCGCCGCCTCCGCGCCCAGGCATACTGTACCGAGGCCTGCTCGCGAGCGCCGCACGCTTGCTCACCAAACGCTAATTTACTTCGTCAATATTTAAAGTACGGTGACTGAATATGCTAACGGAAGCCAAGCCGGTGGCTGGGAAGGCAAGATGTCGGCATAGCTGATTGACGTTGATATACGGCTGTGTCACATCGAGCCAGCTCAATCCACCGGCGTTCAACGAGAGAAGACCTGAGAAGACCTTAAGGCGGATGCTCCCGTAAAGAAATTGCGATCGCTCCCGTAGCGCGCGACAGGGCGAGTCTGACAGCTGTCATTGCGCGCCCTCGCCGGATTCGCTGCGGCTGCACCGTGGATGATATTTATTTTTAATCATACACGACGATGTTCCCGTAGAGTGCGACCGGCTTTGTGCGCGCGTGACGAACCGATACGAAAAACACGAGAGAATGGCGAACGACGAAGTGTTGGGGCCGCGTAAGACGATGTTCGTTCTAGTGATTGTTGTGGGGTGTTTCGCCGTCTTATGGCCCAGGATCCTGTCGCCGCTGATCCTGGGGCACACCCAGGAGCAGCTGAAGCCCAACAAGTTCGACCGGGAGGCAGGTAACGTCGGTATTTATAACTTTAGCTCAATGTCAATAGCAGCGCATTACGCGACGTTTTCAACGCGCACTAAATCTAATTAGGTCGATCGTTAATTAATGGAAAATATACAACAAAAACAAGAAAATCCGTTTAGTCTGCTGTCAATTTACGATAAATCAATTAGTAAAAACAACTTTATCTCTTGATGCAAATTACTAATTAATATATCATGAAAGAAACACAAAAAATCTTTAGGATATGTATTTGATTTCAAACTGTAATGCTAGATTAATCAGGCGAGAATATATTTGCATTTTGCAATAGTTTTGTCTATAATATTAAGTATTATTTGGTCCAATTGTTGACTTTAAACATTTGCGTTTGCAATAGTTCTGATTGGAATATGGTAGGTGGGTACTTACTCAAATAATGGAAATATGTACATATGATTGCATCAATATGCTAATATGCCTTCTTTTTTTAGCTATATCAGTTTATTTTAAATTTAATGTATAAATCTGATTATTAAAATAAATTACAAAAGAAGAAATATATCTAAATTGAAAATAATCATATTAAATAGATCTTGGGCATTTCTATTTTAATGGCGATTATTAAAAAAATTAAAAGATAAAACATACATAAAAAGTATAAATATCAGGCGGTAAATAACTAGTAAAATTCTGTGTGAAATATATTCCTTCATGTATGGATTTATTAATTTTATAGTAACAGTTTCATCATTAAAAAACCCTTGCTATGCAGGAAAAAGTAAATGAGATTAACTTATCAAAGTACATGTTCTTTGAAAACAACAAAAAGTTTGGTAATTAAAATGTAATACAGTTACAATTGTAATCATTAATTTTTCTTTATAATATTAGTTGACCTTGTTAATTCACATAGTATTGATAATATAAGGAACATGTTACAAATGTTACTCAGAATTATTTAATTTTTATTATTTTAGCAATACTATTCCTTCAATTAAAACATACTCATTGTATAGAATATTTCAAATCACCAAGAAATTTTCTATGTGTTGTAAAACTATATAGGTTGCTGTGAGGTTATGTTCGAGACGGAGGTGGCTGTTTTGGAGCTTGTCAATGAGGTTTGCAGTTCAGCTGTTGGTGTTGGTGGTAAGCTATCCCCATATGCAGCGGGAGAATGCCGGAAAGCTGTAAACGAGACATGTGGTCTAGATATCGCTGCATTTCTGAAACGCAGTGATAATGTGGGAAAGACAACAAAGATGCTTCTAGAAACAATGAAGAGTAGTAACAGTTCGTGCTTGAAGGAACATTTTGGTGTTCAGTTATATCTGAATGCACATCAAGGGATGAACTCATGGACTAAACAAGACAGTTAGTGGATTTTATTAGTGTGAAACATATACTAACTATGACTAATTTTAACAGCTGTGAAGTTTGGTTATTGTGCAACTAACATTTTTTCAATTAACGTAAATTTAATAACTAAAAAATGCTAGTTTTTTAATTTTTCGTTTAATTACATTAATTAAATGCACTTACAATGCATTTAAAGTACAATTAGAAAACCTTAACATATAAAATTATTAATTAATGTTTTATTGGAATATTGATTTTATTGTCATTTTTTTGTACAATTCTAAAGTTTAGGGCTTGCCGTCGGTCAAGGGGAGCTGGTAATAAAACCCTTTTTTTATTCAAAATATTCTTCGACATTTTTTTAAAGAAAATACAATTATTAAAATCTGCGTATTTTGAGCTTCTCTTCAACTAGTATTTATCAAAGCCAAAGTTGATCTAAAAGCAATAGATATTTCTGTCTTCAATTCGCCTTATTATGCTATCAATCAAAATGCGCCTTTTGTTATTCGAAGTTTTACAAACAAGATCGTAGTGGGTGAGATTTTCGCGGCCCTGGTCAGTTGGGCGGGCGCCAAGCTTCTCAGACCAATGTCAGCTGGTGGCGAAGTGATTTTATAATTTTATGCTTGCAAACTCGAATATTTGCAATACTTATTTAGGTCTTTAAACGTATTTGTTAGAATCACATATTAAGTGAAATTGACGATTTTTGTCCTTGTCTTGAATGTCTACCCCAAATTGATTTATTATATTTGAAAATATTTTATCTTCTTTCTGTTGTTTCTTGTTTCTGTTACTACTACTCTGTATTTTAAGAAGCTTCATAAATAAATAATAAAAAAGGATGAATTTATACGTTTCTGAAAATTTCAAAGTTAAACAAATAAAATCCTATAATCATAATTATTTTTAGCAGGTTTCCCGAAATATCTAAAATCAAAGTTCAATGTTTGCAACAGAATCCTAGAAGTAATTATAAAATAAAACAGATGTCTGTTAAAATATTCCTAAACACGAATTCTTGGTATATAACCCTTCCAGGAATTTTGCGCGTTGGATATCATAATATTTATAACTCAAATTCTAAGGAATTTGAACGGTTTTAAAAACAAAAATCTATTATACATCTTTAAAAACATTTAGCCCCTGTCCCACCAAATTGTAAATTATCTGATAAAAATCTGACGTGTAAAATATGTGATGGAAATATTGGATTTTGTTCCCTTATTTGACAGTGAGCTCATTTTTAAGCTATCTGAGCCTCTATCAGTTAGTGGTGGGACATACCCTTTGGCTTTAGGTCGCTTGCTTTAGGATTATTCCCAACCGTCACCCAACTCGGGCCCCATGTGAGGACAGACGAGAATAAAAAGTTTCATCCGTCCCACCTTTTGCGATGACGGGACGGTTGAAACTTATTTTATTTCATAACGGTTCCATCTGTCACCTTATTGGTGATAGTGGGACTAAAAGGTGTGGCTGATGAATCTTTATTATCGCGTGGGTACAGAGCGGGGTGACGGTTGGGAATAATCCTTGCTTTATACCATTAAATAAATACTTATAGATACAACCGCATATTCGTTTCTTAACAAATTCGTAGTCAAGTGTTTTTAAAGTATGTGTGGTGAGCAGCGCCGGCGCATGATGACTACTAATGCGATATATCGATGTACAACATTCTTTAGTAAGGGCAACCGTTTGCTTATACATTGGTACCATGACATGGTTTAGTCACTTAAATTCATTAGATATCGTAATTAAAGGTAACTGGTACTCAGAATCGTTTAATGGTTAATTAGTAGTTTCTATACGCGTATACTTCTACACTGAAAGACTAGAGATTGCTCAATAATTGTGTGTAAAAAGGTGCGTGGTAGGGCAGAATTTGAGCTCTATAAAACGAGAATGGATAAGAAACGAAATGAATATAAGAGGAGGTTTGAGAGTAGCCCTAGTGGTAGAGAAGGTAAGGAGTACAAGGTTAGCGTGGTATGGGCATGTTATGAGGAAGAAGAAATCTCATGTGACAAGGAGAATGTTAGTTATGAGTGTGGAAGGGTTCACCGGTAGAAGTAGAACTAAAAAGAGATGGATGGATTGCGTGAAAAGTGTCTTGATCAAAAAGGGAGTGATGACTGAGATGACGTATGATAGAGTTTTTTGGAGGACAAAAAGCTGTTGCGCCACTATGGGAGAAGGATAAGGAGGAAGATGATGATGATAAAACGAGAAAATAAGTTGCAAGGTGAAAATAAAGCTATGTAACCGATGTTTAAACGTGAAATCTTAAAGATGATGGTTTTAGTAACTTTTTGGTCTACTAACAATGGTTGTTTATCTCAGAGACATTGAATATTCCGTTGTAAATCTTCCGCTTCATGTGCAAATGTAAACAGAGTACCGTCGCTTTCGCGTCTCGGTTAGTGGCGCTACTCAAGACTTGTTTTCTCGTTTGTTGTAAGAACAAAAGTATTTGAGACGACATTGTTGTCGCATGTCCGCGTGAGGTCGCGTCGGGGCGCGGCCGTCACGCGGTCACCTTTGGACTGACAAACGCTCGGACTTTTCTTTACCATCTTTATAACGTTTGCTAATGTAGAAACTACGAGTAAATGTTATAAGTAAAATTATGTTAGAGTAGTATTCCATGGGTTTAGATTGTCCAAGAAATTAGCGGTTAACAGAGCACAGTAGAATTTTAGGTACAAAAGTATGCTCTTCACAAGTCTTTGTGAAATAGATATATTAGTTATGAGGGGCAAATTATTATGCCATATATCCTTGTGTAATCGAGTAGACCTTGTTGCTAAGCGACCGAACTTAACAATAGACCTTGTTAAACTTTTATAGATATCTATACAAATAATAAAATTGGAGTGTCTGTTACACCAAAAGAAAAATTTCAGATTTCGCAAAAATCGGATTTAAACTTTTTTCGCATGTCTGTCTGTTCGCAAGCTGCTTTTGTCCCGGGTGATATCCTAAACGGCTGGGCGACTTCGTCCGGACTTTTACTAAAGGGTAACTGACATAGACGGGCATATTATAGGCTACTATTTTATCTTAATATTGTCTATAGTCAACAGCTAGTCTATAACGTTATCTGATACGCAAAGTAGGGAATAGTAGAAACTTTCTCCAATGCTTTACTCGTCTTCAGTTTCAAATATTTCACAAAACGGATCGTGTGCTAATGATGTCTAAACGGCAGTAAGTGTGGCACGGCACTTAGCGTCGCACCTCTTGTGTCGTAACTGCGCAAGCGCATCTAACTTATTTACTCAGTGACATCGTACCAAGATCTTTGCATAAGTCAACCTCAAGTCCTACAAACCTACAAAGAGTAGATGTGTTAACTTGCGTAGCGCAGTTAAATCATGACATGCCTATCCTAGTTTGAACTATGGATTACTTTTTTAAGCTTGGTTTATCAATATACGAATGACTACAAATCATACTTCATACTAATATTATAAATGCGAAAGTTTAGATGGATGGATGAATGTTTGTTAGAGTCTGTAGCCTAAAGGGCTGAACGGATTTCGATGAAATTTGGCACAGACATAGAGAATACTCTGGAAGAATACATAGGTTGGTTTTTATTTATTTTTTAATTCCACGCTGACGGTGTCGCGGTGAAAGCTAGTTATCAAATAAAGCGATTACGGCTGCTATTTTAATGGAATATCTAAATAATCCTTCGATAACAGATTGCGGAAGTAAAGTTTGTTGGTATCCTTTATTGTAACATAAGAGAAGATGACGTACCGTGGAAACAATGTGAGCATCTGCTATATAACGTAAACAATTTGTTCACACAATTTGCGTAGCGGTTGGCCTATCGTGGTCGGTGTCGATGGAGCTACGGGCCTTGGTTCCATATGGTTTATACACAAATTAGGTAATACGACAATTGACAAACTGGGTCGAATTGTACAGTCAACGTTGGTCTAAGGTATAAGCGGCAGCGGATTTTTTACATCATTTTTAAATTATCATTGAAAATGTTTTAAAATCCCTTTTTTGTCATCAATCTTAATTAATAATTAAATGCTTACTACCTTATTTTGTCTCGGCTAGGCAAAGTCAGTAAGTAATATTACGCATACCAAAAATTAAGGATATTTTATTTATAAAATTACCCATCATGAAACGCCATCCAATCTGCGGTAGAGTATATGTATAAGTGAAATTATCGCTTTAAGTTGTAAGTTTGATTCCCGCCATGATGTGGTAACTTGTGCCAAGCTGTCATGAATTTTATCCACACCAGTTTGGTCGCGGCGTCTTTTCGGGTCACATATTTCCCGCTAGAGCCGAGGGTCGACGGCGCCTGGCTGATAATCACATGTTGGCAACTTGACGGCAATGAGTCAACAATATCTATGACTGACGCTTCTATATTTGGAAGATTTTTTTTAGTCGCTCCATTCCGATAACGTTTTCTGTAATTAGTTTTTCAGTTTTTGGATTAGAATTATCGCAAATGGTGTATAAAGTTTTTAAAGTTGCAGTTTCTGCATTTAAAATTATAACTTACATGATCATTTTTACGTTTATTAGGTAAATCCAAAAATAGGCTAATAACAGCAATGTTGGTCCTTACTAATATTTGTAAACGTTATATGTTTTTTTGCATTTCATTTACTATTATAAGTGCATGATTTATAATGTTTTCTTAATTCCATATTTGGTTAAATTAAACAAGGAGTCAACGACGACTACGCCTTACAAATGTTCCTTTCGACCTATGATCCACCTTCCCAAATTACACCGAGCCATTCGTTGTTAATACTATTTTCTATTCAACAGCGTTAAAACAAGAGCGGTCACCGATCCGTGGGATGGGTCCTCATCCCGCACTACGAGAAAGAGGACGAGCAATTCCTCCGGGAGTGCCGCCCGTTCAGCCGCGACCACCGACTCCTCTACCACCGCACGTCCGGGTACGAACTTCCCCCCTCTCTGTCTACTACGATGTTGAGATCAAGGTCAGTCGACGGTGTGACAGTGTGCCGGCTTCTGCAGGTAGGAATGGAAGTCCCCTTCGACGGTTAAGTACTGCGGTTACCTGAAATACCCTGGTCTATATATAGAACGAACTGGGAACTAGAAACCAAAATATGTTGCCAAATAAAGGCAGCTCACAGGATTGCCGAGACGATCCTTGGTTACCTTCAACTAATGGACTTTTGGAATTTTGCACGTGTTATAATTTTTTTTATGCGTTGCGATGTACGCAATGTAATGAAATTCAATCTAAGTCATGACAATCTGTGGTTACTTTAACTTGAGAATGAGACTTCCACATTAACTTAACTGGTAGCGCTAAGCATCGGCAGACTCACACTTAACCTGTAAGTATTGTAGTTTAGTGAATGAAGTAGATATAATAAATTTGTTTAATAATTTAACTTGTTTGTTTTAATATTATTAAGATTCCTATCAGGTAAGTTGATATTCCTGAATACGTAACACATCTTAGTATATTCCATAATTTAAAAAATAATTGAATTAATTTCTATCTACAGTTGACGAAGAATTTGACATAGATTTATGAATGTACACTGCCGGCCAAAAGTTTGAGACCACCTTGAAAAAATTACAATATTGAATAAAACTCCAAAAGTTAGTGCTCTACAAACTTTTGGCCGGCAGTGTATAATTGGAAATATAGAAATGTGTGCTAGTTCTGTGCTAGGAAATACATGATCTCTGCCTACCCTTTTTGGTTTTATATTAATCGTTACGATATCTAGAATAATATATGAATTATGAAACAAGTCCCTGATGCAGTCGTTATTAATTCGTTATTATTTCTAGTCTACTACTAAATAAAATAAAGAGGATGTAGGATATTTTACATTGCATTTAGTTTCTTATTTCGGTATTATGTAAGCTGACAGTAACAAGGGCGCATTGCTCCAAAAATAATGTCTATGACATCATGCGTTGCTGTTGAATCTTTTTATCAGACGTTAACGTGTGGTACAAGTTATAAGCGACTAGCGTTGGTATTAGAAAATATATGAGACTATTTTTAACGTTGATACATTATACAGGCGTTAGTGATATTTTTTAATAGGTTTCTCATTTCGACAAGTAAACGAGTTTTTAATTGTACTTGATTTAAGTGCTCGATCTGTATATAGACATTAAGAGAAAAGAAACAGAATATTAGACAAACGTTCTTCTGCTTTTAAGATATTTTATCCCTTAAATAAATAAAACCTACGATCTATAGTATAGGCTGTACACCTTTTGCAGCAGCTGTTTAAATTTCCTCGAATAGCATTTGGATCAGTGTCAAGTTGTGTCGGTTAGTGTCATCAGGCGGCGTCCCGCTCAACGACTGTCTTGTGACGTCAGTTACGTCACTACGACGCGTCTTATACAGTCAGGTACACAAATGAATTTGATAATAGACATTCCGCCACTTCACTTCTCGTGGAATTTTCTGCCCTGCAGCTGCTTTGGAGGATAATCTGTCTGTTTTTCCAAAACAATACGACTTAGGGTCATTAAAGAAGCGAACCTATCTTTCTCAAAGGCCAGCAACATTTCTGCAGTTCTGGAGGATGTCAATGAGAGTGTTCACGCCGATCGTTTTTTTTATTATAATAAAGATTTATCGTAAGTATAAATTAATTTTTAATACAATTAACTTTATGCAATGTATTCTGTGCAGGACTGTACCAGTATTTGGTTGTTAAACATATACATTTATGATTACTTAAGACAAATTTTAAGTGAGTTCTACAATGCAATGTATACCAAAATATTTTACATGACAATACAAAGCTAGACAAGTTAAACGTTTCGGTCGTTACTTGAGTGGCACTGGCAGATGTAATACAAAGGATGGCGTCAGTTAGCTTTAAAAATATACTACTAGTTGTTGCTTGCGACTACGCCCGCGTGAATTTAAAAATTAACATCAAGTATAGGCTATGTTATTCACAGATAAATTACCTTAGTAATGGTGAAGGAATTTTTAAAATCGGCCCAGTAGTTTTTGCGTGAATCAAATACATAGAAATATCCAAAAATCCAAATCTTTCCTGTTTATAATATTAGTATAGATACAGATAATAAGAAAAATAAAGGAGAACAATGATTTTTGTCTTTTAAAACCGATTGTAATGTACCAATCTTAAACATACTATAGTCGCCTTATTTCACATAGGTCTTACTCTAAAATAATGCCTAGTGGCTAATGATGTGGGTATCCCATCCGATCACGTGGTCGAGGTTCAAATCCACTTGATTATTGTCATAATCCTAGAGCCGCGACACGTAGACCACGCACCTTCAATATTCCTTACCAGATATGTTCGAAATGGAAATGCGAGTCTCCTACGGACGCCAGGTGGTCCAGTTAGACCACTTTGAAAAATACTAGCCTAGAGCTTAATTGATTACCATAAAAACAGTACGATGGCTTTCATTTTCGGACGGTCCGGGTTCTAAGTGGTCACGGTGGTGGTGACCATTCCAACCGTAGTGGTCCAATGGACTTGCAGTTAATCACAAGCCTTTGTAACGTTTGACATTTGTAATACTTGTAAGGTGTTTGCTGAGCATATCGACGTAGACCAGTCGTCCTTCAGTAGTGTTATTTCGGTGAATCCGCCTTTCATTTTCACTTGCATTACTATTTACTCTATACAGCCGATGATCTAGCATAGGTATAGGGGGCTACAACTAAAATAGTTGTTATTCGAAGTGAGATGGTATCCCTTTTACTCTATGACAAAATAGATATAGAAATATTTTGGTAGGTTTCAGCAATAAAAATCTAAATTAACTTTTACTAAGACGACCTTTATCGATTACCACTTTAGCAGTAAAAATTAAAAGTAATTTGTAGTAATAAATATGAATAAACTAGGAATTATTCATCCTCTATATTACTTACTAGCTTTCCCCCGCGTTCATATTTGTCAAATTTTCAATTGTAGATGTCAAAATACCAATTACCTTACTAATGACAATCTTGCTTCTCGATATTGGCAGCTCGTATCGTATGGTCTCTTTTCCACATTAGAATTTTTAACCAAATTATTTACCCCCTAAGTTTAATGGCGTCAAAAATATGATGTAATTGAGGACATCTTAGGCAACAAAGAAGTGTGTGTTTACGCTTTATTATATCAGTATAGATTTGATAAATATACAGAGACCAAGCAATGCAATACTATGAGTCATTTTATCAAGTTGTATGCAAGGGCCCCAAATTAATTTATCAATAACGCCAACAGATGTGATGTAGAAGTACTTCGCTCGCCTACACTACACACAAACTGCTCACTGTTTATTACTTAACATACATAGTAATTGAATATCTTATACGCGGACTTCATAAATCTTAAATACGATAATTACATTTGTCTAAAATGCCATTAAGGATGTTTTTTTTCTAGGAAATTTGATATATGATTTAGGTCTATGCATCAGTTTGTTCAATCTATACTAATATTATAAAGAGGAAAGATTTGTATTTTTGGATTTTTGTATGTATTGCAATAAATCAAAAACTACTGGGCAGATTTTTAAAATTCTTTCACCATTGGAAAGCTACGTCTACATTTACGCTATATTTTTTAAATTCACGCGGATGAAATTGTGAACAGCTAGTTATTATATACATAACGTATATACAAACCTAATATCAAAGTAAACAAAGTAACGCTAGTAACCCAGAGGGGAAGCTGAGAAGAGATTAGACTTCCATTTGACACGGTCTTGTCTGTACTCTTTATTCTATTTTCTAGTCTGTTCGTAAAACAGGAAACCATGGAGTAGCGATGTCGTAAAATCCTAACCGGCCAGTGTTTGCGTAGTCTCGGTAAATGCGCGCGTCTCGTCGCCTCAATGCGATTTATAAAAATATAAAATTACCGTAACCATTATAAATAGTCCACATTTGTGCCAGTACGCAGTTCCATACGATAGTTATGAAAGATATCACGAAAAAGGTTTTTATTTAATCTCTTGTTTATTTTCTTCGTTTATTGTATAGGCGTTTTTTTTGTTTTTGTTTAATTTTCAATTTTAAGATGTTTGTATGTTTATTGCAGCCCCCGCCAATACCAGGGATGCGACCACCGCTAGGCTCCCCCGGCGGGCCAGTGCCGGCGCCCAAGTCTTCAATGGGCTTCGTCATGCCCATATACACCATCTGCATCATCGTTTTCTTCGTGTATACTCTCAGTAAGGTAAGGGTAGAAGATAGTGTTAAATCTTTTCAATCAAGTATGTGGGCGAATGTTTTGGAAACTCCGTAATGTTGAAGCAATCGAAATGATATGCAGTTAAAAGTTTTTAGAGTTACAACCATCCATTCATCAATTCCAGTCTTGTGAGTTTATTCAATTCCTCAAACGAGAATATCTAAAATTGTTATAGAATATGGAAATTTAGTTGTGATTTCACTTTTTTTTGCTGACTGTACTTTATCATATAATCTTCGTTCCCAGATCTTGTTCAAGCGCACAGGGTCACCCTACGAGTGCGTCGCCCCTGACCCTCTATTCAGAAGGAGGGTATTCCGAGATGACTCCCGTTCCTCGCCTGATAAATTAGGTGAGAGTAATCAATTAGTTATAGACTAAGAAAATAAAGTTGCCAGTATTAAAAACTTTCTTTTATGAATATTTTTATGTCATTCACACTTTCATATTTTATTTTTTCTGTCGTTCTAACACGTTCCATGCCGTTACTTTTTTTTTATAAATTGTACTCGTTTATCAGTCGACATTAAATGTGTTAAAATACTCTATGGTCTATGGTTTCCTTGCGCACGCAGGACCAAAGGAGAGGGACGCAAGTGAGTATGATATTGTTATTTTTAAATTGATTTTTAATTTTATTATTTTAATTGGCTGCTTGTAAAGCGGACAGGAAACACGCGTTATCGTTTTGTTTTCAAGTTTGTTGAAAATAATAGTATTTTAATTAATGAAACGTATTATTCCCACGAATACTGATTATCGATTCAAAGAATTGTTCGTTTAATAATAAAGTTTCAATTAAATGTGTGATGTTTTGCGCAGGCGCAATTTTCTGCTTATTTCCCTTGGTTGTTATGTATTTACCCGCATATTTAGCGTGGTTGACTGAGCCTAGTAATCATTACTTAGGGTACACTCCGAGCCACTCAGTGGGGGCGTATAGTGAGCTGGTGATGATGATAGTTATTATTTATTTATTTCAAATATTCTACATAAAAGTTATTTATATGCACCTGACATGATGTATTGTTAATCATAAAGCCGTGAATCATAGAATGCTACTGAATAATCGTTAACTTCGATGCATTGTTGCCAATATGTTCGTATTTATTTAAAACTCTTCACTAAATCAATTAAATTTTATTTAAAACAAAAATAGCACTAAAAAGACAGATTTTTTCGTTGTAATCAAAGAATTCACGCAACTTGTAAATCTTTTTTACAAATTAGTTTAGTTTATGAAGTTTTGTAACGATATCAATTAAAAATTTAGCAATTTTTCATTATATTTTTCCATTTACACCCCACCAATAATTACCTAACTATAGACGGCATATCAACCAACCCGCACTGGGCAAGCGTGGTCGAATAAGACCTAGTCATCCCTTAGGGTAGGTTTCGAGTCCCTCAGTGGGGATGTGAGCTGGTGATGATAAATTGACATCTATCCGTATGCAATCGGGTTGGATTAGTAGTAAATTGTAAACTGTTCCCGATGGTTGGTGTTAATGTAGATTTGATAACTTAGGGGACGTGGAGTTGGAGGCGCTCCGCGCACGGCTGGCGGAGACAGAGCGCGCTATGCAAAGGATCGTCGGCCAACTGGCACGCCGCGACGCGGTACCAGCCACCGAGACCTGTGATCAGTTGGATTGCCATGCATTTCATAGATCATTTTATAATGGATAAACTGATAACCAACCATTTATGTTGGCTCGAAATGTTTTTTTCTAAATTTTGTAATGGCAATCCAACTAAACAGTGCTTTATTTAAATATGCGTGGTGTTTACCTTAGTTATTATAGTAGCTTTCGGCATGGTGACGGTGAGGCCCTTTTACTTCGGGTCATTTCTGCACGCAAGACCAAAATGAATGGGTTTTGACGTATGTGGACTAGAAATTTTTTTTGCAATGATTCCTGGTCCTTGGATGTCATGTGAATGGAAAATTGAAATGATTTATTTAATCTTTTGACGTCCATTTAAAATAACGATCCTGCATTGTATAATATTTATTTAACTAGATTTTAAATAACCCTTATGTCTTGTTCAATGTTTTAAGTTTTTTTTCCGTTATTTTTTTATTTATTTTTTAAAGGACTTTACCGCCAGATAGATGACATTCCGACTGTCACTTTGACATTTGTTTTTTTAATCTCTGTTTTTGAAAAAGGCAATGATTTTACCAACAGTCAATGTTCGTTGAATGCAAATTGGAATGAAAATGTTGCAACATGTTAATATTGACACATTATAACAATTGGCTGCGGTCCAGGGTGCAAGCCCAATCGTCTGATGAACCAGTTATTTTGGTCTTAGCGTCCTTCGCTATGTTTTTATAATGGTTTATTTTTAGTTGTTTTGTTTAAAATAAAAAAAAAAATACAAGAAAATCAAATTCTAACTCAAAAATAAAGTTTTAAAAATCAAGTAAACTGTAGATTTTAAAATATTGAGTAGATATAATATATAATTTTCAAAAACAGGCGTGATTTAATGATTTCTGAACGTATAGAATTTCGGAGAACACTTGTAAACTATGTTTTTAATAATTATCAGCGAAATATGAAAAAAACAATTACGTTAAATTAATGGCAACATTTATGGCGCGCAGTTGTGACGGCCATCTCAGGGCTGGTGGCGGAGGTCCGGCAGCAGATGGAGGCGGGCGACGCGCGGCAGGTCACTGCATGCCCCATAACCATTCCCCTATACCAGTTTTACACTTGTATACAATACTAGCTGTTCCCGTGCGGCTTCATCCGCGTGAAATTAAAAAAAAAACATTACTCTATTGTTTCCATTTGTCAAATTCTTAAAACCATTTACCTTACTATGGCAATCTTGCTTCTTGATGTTGGCAGCTCGTATCATATGGTCTCTTTCCCACATTAGGGTTTTAATCCAAAATATTAACCCCCTAAATTTGATAGCGTGAAAATATGTAGCCTAAAGCGTGACGTAAGTGTAGGGGTTTTTATTAAAAAAAAAGAGTTATTCAAAAATATGCTGTAGTTGCTGAGATCTTAGGCAACAAAGAAGTGTGTGTTTACGCTTTATTATATTAGGATAGATTTACAATATTAATACTTTTACAAAACGTGATACACGTAATGAAAATAGCGCGCGAGTAAATACATAGTAATTACTAATAATAAATATGATAAGTCACTGTTAAATTGGAATTTATGCGATTTTACATTTGTCAATTTACAACATTTGATGCGGCTTAAAGATTAAATTCTAATTTAATATATGTAAATGACATAAATATGCGTTAAACCTATATGAGAAGTAATCCATATCATTTACCACTCAGATTTAAATTAATACTTAAGCAGTCCCTTAATGTAGGTTACGATACTAATCTGGACATTAGACACAATATACAAATGTAAAACTGGCATTTTTAATTGATTTTGTGCTAATTTTTTTGTTGTATTTTGTATTTTTCGTCCTTTACCCTACTCCGATCTTGTGTGCCTTGTAAAAACTTTTTTTATCATATCAAGAACATATAAAAACACATAATTTCCTAGGAAATCTATCTTTCTTTTGATTACTTCTTTTGTATTTGATAACATGAAAACAGAATTAATCTTATCGGTGCTAATCAATAAATATTAAACCGCTATTCCTGAGCTTTTACAGCTGTAATACGCATTTGGCAAATCCAGCTAACCTCTACGAATCGGTAATAACCTCAAAATATCTTTGGCGCGCAAATTTTCCCGCTTCGCTGCAGACTTGTGTCAATATGTTCGTTTCATTAAAGATAAATTGATGTTTCTATCAATTATGACAAGAAACTATTTGTTAAATTCATAAATTTTAGTAATGGTCACGAAATTACTAATAATAATGGCCTAGTATCCTTGTACTATTTAAGTGGCATATTTGACAATCGAATTCCTAATAAAAATAACAGTACCGTTTGACCCTAATTATAATTTATTTCATTTTATTTTAATTGCAAAAGTATATTTATATTGTTATTTTTTCTTTGCTTGTCAAACCACCATTTTTATTTTTACTCTGTATCTGACGTTCTTGCCGCCATCGCCTGACAGATTGCACTGTGTTGCCCTATCTAACAGAAAATATTTTTAAAAAATAACAGAAACCTATATTTTCAAAGAATGTAAATGAAAAACAAAACTAATTTATTCTTCACTTTTTCATTTTATTTGTTCATATGTTATAGCATATTTATATTGGTTTTTCTTTGTTGTGTTTCTGTTCTTAAGAATAAACGTAGATTTTTCTTAGTAGAATAAGACTTGCTCTTAGATTAATACCATAGTATTTTTTAATAAACAAGTATAATCGTTAACTATGCTTTTTGTATTTAACAATTTTGAAGTTTCATTTCTTTTTAGAGCTTTTTATTAGCTTGTCATTGTTTTTAAACTTATCTTGAGTGTGTGTGTGTTTTTTTTATTTAGTTTGTTGCAACTGTAGCCACAACGTATTGCATAATTTGCATTAAATTAAAACGAAAGCAGCTATAAAAATATTTTGTTCTTTAATTACAGGAGGCGCAGGATAACACTCGTCCGTACACAAATGGAACAATATTATTGAACAGTGGCCCCGTGCAAATTATAGCTAGTGAATTCCAGGAACCTAAAGATAAGATTCTAAACGAACAGAAAGATGCAAATATTGAAAAAGAATCAACTCCAGTGGAACTACCGCAATCTAAAGAAACAACAGAACAAGTAGAGAAAGATGATTCTAGCAAAGTAAAGCCAGCAGATTTATCATCACAACCTTTGGTAGACGAGGAAGGAGTATCCCAGGATAAGGATATCACTGAAGCTGAGGTTATTGAATCTCAAGTATCGGAAAATAATGTTGGTACCGAAAAAGACACAGATGAAGAAAAAATATCAAAACCCGATCAAGATCAAATATCCGAGGAACAAACAGATAAAGAAATAAACACTGAAACATCAATAAACAAGACAGAAGAAATAATCTTAAAACCAGATGATGTTGAAATAAATGGCGAACAATTAAATAATAAAAATGTGGATTTAATTGCATTATCAGAAGGTAAAGAAATAATTAAGGATATACCATTAGCAGAGACAACAGAAATGCTTATTAAACAAGAAAAGGGAGAAAGTAATGAAGAGAAACGATCTCCTACAGAACTGCTGGAAGAAGCTCTGATGGAAGAATTATTGAAAGACGAAGACGTAGAACAAGAGAGTCCAAGCGTTAAAGTAAGTTTACAATTTAGTTAGCAATACTGAATGTTTGACCGTTAAAATAACTAGAAAAGTTTTTATCCAATAGTTGTTTCATTATTAGAGTTCACATCGTGTTCACGGTTTTAAACCCAAATTGTAATTTCCCTACTTTGGTGATTCGTTTGGTCTGATTTCTGTACTACTTGTATATGGTAACACTACATAAGGTGGTGGGCATGGAGGTGACAACACACGCAGCGGACGGCGGCGCCTGTCCCGCCGCCCAGCCTCCCCTCCCCGCACAAACACCACACACACAGAAACCACAAGTAAGTCAAATATAGGAGATTTATACGTGGACCTCTATAAGCGGTAAAAGTTCTACCTCACACCAGGTGATAAGGCTGTTTCCATACTTAGCTGATGACCTGACGACGCCCATAATTCTGTATCTGTCTCTGATCTTACTTCTCAAAATTTAACTCCTCCAGCACGAAGCAGCAGATGTGAAGTCAATATACCTGGAGACGGAGATCCCGCAGCAAGCGCGCGTGCTGGTCGCCGACTTCGCGGACAGGACCGACAGGCCCAAGCCCACAAAACACGCACCAGTGAGTCACACTCCATTTATTGAGCACTTGTAAATTGAGCCACACTCAATTCATTGTGCGGTTGTTAATTGAGTACTCGATTAATTGAGCTGTTATAAATTGAGTACACTCAATTTTTTTTTATTACTAATGTTTCACTTTTTTTTTGTCGTATAAATGAAAAATTATCTTTACAGTTGGTAGTGAGCGGTAAGATGACTTTGTCATTGATACAGGACGCGCCGCGCGACACGCCGGAGAGAGATCCTGGTCAGTGATCAAATTTAACTAAATATTCAATGAAATTGTCCTATATTTGTAAATAAGAATTAAATAAAAAAATGTTTCTTATTCGTCAAAGAGTAACAATTTTTTCTTTATAGAGTCGACAATGGACGACTTCACCACCGCCAGCGCAATGACTCAGCCCGCAGAAGTATGTTTGTTTATTCACTATTTTTACTATTTTCCACTGGGCTGATGAATGGGATTTTTTCCACCAAAACTACCTTAGTTTTAATGTTTAAAAAAATGTTTTTCTACAGAAAGACGGAGACTTATCTGAAGAAGAAATTGAAGAGGAGATAGAAGAAATAGAGATCGAAGAAGAAATAATAGAAGAAGAAGTCGAGGAAGAGGAGATTGAAGAAGATGAAGAAACGAATGAACCAAAAAACGCACCAAAGACAAATAAGTAGACAAAATGAACTGATTTTAGATCTGGTAACATTGTAGCGTTTGAATTAATACTGAAGTAGATTTAAGTGTAGATAAATAATGGAAAAATTTGATATCCTCGATTTTTATTGAACAAGTTTGATCCATAGATAATTTTTTTAAAACATTTAAATCACGCTGCTAAGGTCTTTTCATATGAAAATTTGTTTTTTTTTAGTTCCATAACTAATTTATATTTTTCAAAGTATTAGAAACTACTCTTCTATGAAGAAATATCTTCAAAAAACCAGTAATTTAAGTTGTGTTTGAGTGCCAAATTTTACTTGTAGCTTTTTGAGCAATTATGAGTCTATTACTATGAAATGTAATTTTTTTCTAAAGATCTCTTCCACGTCTTTAACTTTATCTTAAAAAATGTTTTTAAAATTAACTCCTCGGTATATCAAACTTTAATGCTGTTTAAAGTCTGTTATTTAGCCAAATATTTTTTATTATAATTTAATTGTATACAATTTGAAGTGTTGAGATTTTATCAGTTTAGACTTTTATATTATTGATAGATATATGGTAACATTTACATTTTTGTAACATCAAAAACATTTCAGTGTTACCAACATGAAACTTTTAGCCAAAAAAATAACCATAGACTTCTTTATCTTTGATGAATATTTTCTTGGTTCACTGAAATGTTTTTAACTTAAATAGAAATTAATAAATGAAATACAACGTTTATTTTAAGAATAAATTGAAAAGTAATATGTTAGAATTTGTTGCACTGTGTGAGATTGCGGTAGTGAAGATTATGCATTTAAGATTTAATGTTGAACTTTTAAAATTGTTTATGGTTAAGTTTATTGTGAAATTATAGCTTTATCATATTAATGTTCCGCTCGCCTCCTAATAACGTAAAAATACCTTTTTTCGCGACGCTTGGACATTCCTTTTTTATTCGACGTATAGACCATAGACAAATTGATAATGGTAACATTTGTACATTTAAAAATAGCATTTTTTGTTGTTGCTTTGAATTGTTTTTGTTGATTAAAAATAAAAATTTTAACATTGAATTAGTTTTCATTTTATCTGTAAAAATAAGATGAATTTTATTATAAAAAATTAACTGTCACAATACCCGACTGATTTTAAAAAAAAGGATAATAAACCATTCTTAAAACCTGACTTGCTGTAGGGGTATACCCCTGAGAGGAAGAATGTGAATTGAAGAATGCCCCATTCACATACCAGTACAGTTGGATAGAAGTGCTCAAAATCAGAACTGACATACAATTTATCTTAGATGTTAACTAGACATAGACAATCAAGAGAAAATATGTGTATGAGATTTTAGTTCACTGTGTATGTAGTAGATTTTAGTCTACAGTGAGTATTGATACCAGTGAGAAACGACCCACTCCATACGCATTCTACACTGCATAATGTTAGTCTGTACCCAGTATTTTAGTTTAAACTTTGTCTATGTAGAATTTAAAAAACAAAACAGTAGTCTATGTATTCTTCCAGACTATCCTTTACATATATGCCAAATTTCATTAAAATCCATTCAGCAGTTAACCTACCAACACTAACAAACATCTATCTGAACTTTCGCATTTATAACTTTAGTAAGAGTAAGATAAGTAATACCTATAAATATAAGTAATACCTATCCTGGCTTACCCGTCTACGGACGAGGGCAGGATGGTGTTTAAGATGGCACCTGTTTAAGAAAACAGTCAGTTAATTAAGTTTTGTTTGTTTAAGATTTATGGGGTGTTATAATCGCTTCGCGACAAAGCCCCCTGTAAAAATAAATAATAATAAAAAAAATAGTACAAATATAGAACTAGTTTTATACAACTGTGCTGAATAAACATCTCATATAAATAAAACTCATGTTACATTTTAAAGCATATAATTTAACATTTCACTTATATAACATTGATTGTATGTACACTACTGATTGTTGGCATATTTAGTCTCCACCTCACTTGCTACCTGAAACATGAATACAAACAATTAGATATATTTAGTCATTCTATGTTCAGTGATTTTAACACTGGCCTGAAAAAAAATGTTAAAACATCTTTTATGATTAAAATTTAAGATGAAAGTAAAACAGTAAATTATAAGTTATGTATGCTTAAAAATACACATGCCATACACATCGCAAAAAATGGCATTGTAAAGAAACACCCTTCGAGAGAGTGTCAAGGAGAGTGGTTGTGACCCTTAGGAATAAGGAAACCATCCGGAGAGAGAGAGAGAGAGAGAGAGAGAAAGTGAGAAGGAGATGTTTACAAATAAAGTTATTAGTCTTGGGGAAATTTAATAAATGATTAACAAATATATTGAAGCATAATGCAATGTTCCTTTGGAAAATTCCTATGCATATAAATTTTTCTGAAACTTGAAGGATTTAAAAAATATGAAGACTATAAACAGTAGCACTAGATATTTTACAGTTGTTAAACAATTGCATTTATTACCTGTGGTCCAAGTTTTAAGTGAATCTATGTCTTTGACCATTGTCCAATCATGTCTCACTGATTGAATCGTTTTTGTTGCATTGGTAGGCAAAGTGGGCATAATTACCCAGCCTTCATCAACGGCAGCCTTCTTCACAAGGGCGGCAGCGCCCAGTACGCAAGCCGCTGGCAAAGCAATAGTCAAAGATCTAGTCCAGGCGCTTAAAATCGTACCAGCCGCTGCTCCTCCCAAGAAATAGTTAACGCCATCGTTTTTGCCTCTAATATTTTGAGCAACGTTTGCAGTAACAGTAAATGCGGCAGCCATACCGACCAAAGGGCCAACGTAAAACATATATCGCCCTGTAGTATTCACGATGCCTTTTGGATGCGAGAACATTAGAACGTCGAATGTAGCCCCAGCGAGACCTGCCAATGTAGCATATTTGGTTGTAACAAACACTTTTTTATAAATATCTTGACCCTCCGGAGTATCGTAGTATTTGTAAGTAAATAACGACATTATTATTGTACGATTAGCACAACTTTTTCGAAAAGAAGTTACACAATACCATTTGACAGTGACAGTTAAGTGACAGTTTTTGACATAAATGTCAAATTTTCAGGTTATATTTTTAAATATTTAAGACTATGAATGTTAAACTTTTCTGTCATATTTTGAAAAGGTTGCAACTAAAAATCATCAAAGCATTATTTCAGTAGCAAAATAGTATACAAAAATAACTTTGCAATAATACCAGCAATTCCTATAACAAAAACAAGTGAATTTTTAAATCTAAGGTAAAATTTTAAGGAGTTTTAGAGGTTTTTTGAGATCTTTGTAGACACGGCTCTCACCCTTTTAAGTATAGTAAGTCAGATAAGTTATGGCAAATTAGTTACGTTTTAAGTGTAGTGTATTGCATCAAAATGCATTTTAAACTTGCAGTATGTTTCTTCCGTCATTGCCTATGTTAAGTATTTATGGTTCCATGTTAACTATGTCAGTGTCAAAAAGTCAAAAGTATCAAAAATGGCGGCGGACGGTGACGAATTGATTAGTGATCAGGAAAAAGTGAGAATTGTTTCAGATTTCATATTACATTCACCACCCGGCGAATTTAACGAAGTGTTTAATGATGTAAGAGTATTACTAAACAACGATAGCCTACTGAAGGAGGGTGCAAGCGGTGCATTCGCGCAATACAACAAGGATCAGCTCACGCCCGTGCGCCTTGAAGGTTCCGAACTCCATACGCTTATAACCGAGCACAACGAACTTGGAGGTGGCAGATTCTTCGATCCAAGGTCCAAGAGATCCTTTAAGTATGATCATTTACGCAAAGAAGCCTCGGAGTACGAGCCCTACGAGCCGGACCGAGTTGCGGAGCCATGGCGAGCTGCGCTGGACGAGGAGCTGACAGCGTACGTGGCCGCGCACTACAAACACGGCGCAAGCCTGGTCGTGGGGCGCGCGCTCGACTCTAGCACCGTATCTCTCGTCGCGTGCATCGAAGACCATCAATTCCAACCGAAGAACTACTGGAACGGGCGATGGCGTTCCGTGTGGTCGCTGACGGTGGGTGCCGGCGCGGCGGAGCTGCGAGGCATGCTTCGCGTGCAGGTACACTACTATGAGGACGGTAACGTACAGCTGGTGAGCTCGAAGGAGGTCCGCGCGCCGCTAGTGGCGACCGGAGAGGCGGCTACCGCGAAGGAGTTCGTCCGGTTAGTATGCGAGGCGGAGAATGCGTACCAGACGGCGATCTCCGACAACTACAAGACAATGAGTGACACGACGTTCAAGGCGCTAAGAAGGCAGCTGCCGGTGACGCGCAGCAAGATCGACTGGGCGCGGCTGGTGTCGTACACGATCGGCAAGGAGCTAAAGAGCCAATGATGTCCCGCCGCCGCGTCCTGAGCACCGCGGACGCTCCCCGCCTCTGTACATATTCACATAAGAATAAATCTTGTTCAAATGTTTACTGGCTCCGAGGGCCGAGCACCCGGCGCGTATTTATCTATGACTATATAGAGAAATGGCTATTGTAACTGTTAAATTTGATGCGTTTTGTTACTCTCATTACAAAATGCTGATTGCCGCATATTTAATATATTTGTTGCTTTGAAATATTCATACAATAGGCTTGTCTCCGAGATGTACAATCAACTTCTGTTAGTAGCATTGAGATTGTAGCATGTAACATACTTAGGCATGAACCTATACCTTAGACCCTTACCCTAGGTTCAAAGTGGAAAGGGGCAAAGGCCTGCTGCGGGAGACTTGGTTGCAATCGACAGGTAGTTGTGTAAGCAATATGAGAATTGTAATTTTTGTTCAACATATGTCAATTAAAGATGTTAAGATATCCAGTTGATTTATGGTAGAAACTTCCGCTGTACCCACAACTATTATTCCATCCAACCTAAATATTTCATGTTCAGTATTATTTGCGTTAGAAGTGGAATATTGCTTGCATAACCGAGTGCTATGTGAGATACATTAGAAAGAAGGTTCTTATGGTGCATTTAATTATAGTTAATTTAAAATAAAAATTGTCCACGTAGCTTTAACGCGGTGTTTATGAGCATAGAGCACAATATATTCGATATTTTTCAATTAAATATGTGGAGTGTTGCTCAAACTATGGTAACGGTTAAAGTGAAAAAAAGTAGAAATCTATTGTCTATGGCAAATGGCATTGAGAGTGCGAATGAAAGCAGATCATTCTTTATATGTATGTAACGAATATAACTTCAGTAAGTTTTATTTTGTAATTATTATAATAATTTAAAGAACGTACATAAAAATCCAAGTATTCTCTAATGTATGATTGAATTCATTTGAATAAAAATATATATTAAAATGTTGCTAACCTTTTGTTTTTTATTTTTACTTTAAACCTTGTTTATTGAAAAAAAAATTACTATATTACTTGTTCAATTTTATGACTGAAAAATCACTTTTAATTACGCTTACTAATAATATCCTCATTGGTTCGTTTTATTATAGTATAGTATTTGTGCCGTGGTGCATGAAATCATTTGCTATTCTTTAGAAGAGCATAGATGGCGCTGATTTCAAATTAACAAACTTTAACAGAATACAATCGTAACAGCACGCAAATAGTGGAGGTCGGCGTTTATTTTATACAAAAGTTTTACTAGCATTAGTTCCCTTGACATACTTTTCTGAACTTGACCCATTTAGCGGCCGGCTTTACTAAATCAATATTAAACGAGCCGCGTAAGATACGTAGCAGGAAAATTACGTTCTGTTTACCACCTTGACACTGCCGAGTCTTGTAGAGAAACAAATGTAATATTGTAAACTAGCATGAAAGAATCTTTCAGATTTTTATGAAATAACAGCATAATTGGACTTTATACGTATTAAAAGCCTATTAGGAATTTGCTACTAACTTAAATAAATCGTCGTTAATTATACTAGCAACGTAGCGACAACATTCTTAACCTCGCGTCAATAGTTGGCATTAAAAAGTTTGACATATTCGTTTTTTCAATATCAGAATATAATGTAGGCCATATAAAGCTGGTATCATAACGTTATGTACTGTACGTTTTTTCTAATTAACATATATAGGAGGTACATGTTTCGTTATACAGAACAATTACACAGCGTGTCATTGTCTCCGTATCCTCGGGTACAATGTGTCCCATTATCCTTTGTTCGTTAAAAACGTACGAATTTCACGGATCTCACACTTCATGTTAGCTTTTCGGCATTATCAGAACGGATGCGCTGATGGCACACCAGTATTATCGTTCTTGTTTGTTCAACAAGTATTTTTTGTACATCATTAAATTACTAGCTTAGGCCCGTGATTCCGATTGCGTAAAAAAAAAACAAAGTAACCTATGCTTTCTTCCAAAGTATGTTCTACATCTATGCCGAATTTCATCTAGTTCTGTTCAGCTGTTTAGGCTATACACTCTAACAAACATTCAACCTTGCGTCCATCTAAACTTTCGCATTTATACTATTAGTAAGATTTGGTGAGTCACTAAGTTATGCTATAGTAATAGATCTCTAAGATTTTTTTAACTGCAGATTAGTAAGAGAAATATTTACTAGGGGATTACCTATTTGTAATGAATCGTTTTGATTCTTATTAAATACAATTTTAGTAAATATTTACATTTTTTTCGTAATTAAAGTTTCCTGAATTGGACGAATGTCGATTGCATAGGCTTATTAATATTCTGAGTCACTTATTTTGCTTTTCAAATGAGTTCAAATGTTCTGAGTCAGCGGCATGAGTATGTGGAGTGCATTAGATTCCTATAATCACTCATGTTCAATTCAAATTCAATACGTTATAAATTATGTTACTTTCACATCTATTTAAAACAAATTATTAAAGTAAAATTGCGCTGTTTTCCCTTGCGTTGTTTGCCTATACGATTGTCTCCTCTGGGTTTATGAAAAATTTAATTGAAAAAATTAGTTTTAGCTAACAATACCATTGAAATATTAAGAGCGAACGCACATCTTTGACTAAACTATCGCACAACTGTCGTACGATTGTCGATTGTATCGTAGCAAATTCAACTGTTTATTTGCACAACTAAAAATCGAGTAGAGGCGCACCTCCATATAAGCTCATAGAAATCAAATCGAGACAACAGTTGTGCGATAATTTAGTTAAAGATGTGCACGTTGTTTTACGTTATAAATTTTATCGTATCGTTTTTACAAAGTAAAACGATAGCAGATTCATGAGTCATTTCCAACTTTATTGAGTCATGCATTCCCCTTTCACTTGGCGAATTTTCATAGGAAGCATATGTACGCCCTCTTTCAATAAACGGTCTTTTAAAGGCTTGTTAAAGTTTTATTTACCCTTTTCACAAGTTATTTCCCTTGACGTACTTTGTTTTTAAAAACTTTACAGTGTATAGGGAAGTAGTTTAGATGTAGTTTTCGCCTGGCTGTATAAATCTAATATTTTGAGGTTACAAAAATGTTTTCATAAATATTCTAGATACGCTCTGCAAAGTGGTTTACGTGACTTGTATAATTTTAGGCTTTCAAAAAATTAGGACATGTGCATATTAACACATTTTTTAAGTCCTCTTTTTCATTGTTAGTTGTGACATTAAGATTTCTATCCGCCGCGGAAATGGGTCGAGTCTTTTCATAGCAGAAACAAAGGCACTATTATATGTACTCTAGTTAAATATAAACTTAGTTTATGAATTGTATAAAAAATGAAAGTTATGTAAATGAATTAATATTTTATATGACCTTGTATTTAAGGACATTATTTTAACAGTAAAGAAATGTATAGTATATAGCGTAAGATGAGAATAAATAGTTTCATTAATCCCACTATCATCAAAAAGGTGACAGATGGAATCGTTAAGAAATAAAATAAGTTCCAATTGTCCCCTCGTCGTAAAAGGTGGGACGGATGAAACATTTTAGTCTCATCTGTTCGCATGTGGGAGAGCGGGGTGACGGTTGTGAATAATCTAATTAGGGTCAGTACACAGAGGAGCATAGATAAGAGCAAATATTTAGAAATAAACATGAACTTTGTACACTTTGAAATAAGATTTATTTTAACTTTGCACGTATTTTCAGGGCAAAGTCAAAATACCTGTGAAATAAATTTAAATCTAGTTACATTTACGTAAACTTTACTATTATATGCAATTAAAATAGAAAAAAGCTGTTCTCGGTTTGTGTACGGACCTTTATGACTACGAAAAGAATTTCATGTCGGTATTTTGTAGGTTAGGTTGAAAAAAAAACAAATTCGTTTTAATTTTTTTTATTGATAAAAAACATTGGCATAATACCATTCAGTCTTACAAAATTAATAAATACTTAGGTAGATATCTTATTACTAATTTAATGTTAATCTAAAAATAACGCTGTTGAAAGATAATTTTGTCCAGTTCCAAGGAATTCTAGAAATATGTCAAGACGCATACAAATAGATAATTTTAGACATTTAAATCTTGAGTTCATATATTATACGAAGTTATTTCTGAACGTTTAGTATTTGTAATTTCTATCTACAAACAGCTATATTTAAGTAGGTCGTTACATACAATAAAAAAAACATAAAATAATATTCAATAATCCTCAGTTTCTGCAGTTTCCACTTATTTTGTCATATCTAGCGATTCGTTACGTTACGTAGTTTGGAAATGCATTTAAAAAAAATTTCGAACCAATAACACTAATGAATGGTTAAACGTATCTTTACGACTTTTAGGGCCTGTCCCACCACATTCAATCCAACGTGTAAAAATGTGATGAAAATATCGGATTTTGTTCCCTCAGATAGTGACGTCAGCCAGTGGTGGGACAGGCCCTTAGCAGGTATTTTAGTTACTGTATAAACGTAGAAAAATATATTTCTCTCTCTATTTTGTTAAAGCACATGAAAGGGATAGATTTTTTCAAAGCACACTATAATGGTTAGTCCTCATTGCCACTTCGATACTGGCATATACGGTTACTGGCGCCAGTGATGGTATAACTGTCGCACTGTACTGGCATAATGTGAACTAGGCATATATTTTAAAAGCTACGCCTGGTTTGTTGCTCGTTTATATCTTATGTTGTCGAAGTCGTTAGGCGGCATTTGTATCGCCCGCAGAAATGTTTCTGTTGAACCTGTAATTAATTTCTAGATTTATTTTGTAAATTTTACATGATTTTCTTGTCACAATTTTATAAAAAAAATTATCAAAATCGGTCCATTAGCGACGGAGTTAGGCCGCAACACACAAAAAAACATCATCATCCACTTGCCCTTATCCCTTACGGAGGGTCGGCACAGTATGTGCTGCTCTTCCATATTTCTCTATCAGCCGTCATATCTGAAACCACTCCTTTCTTAAGCATATCCTCTTTCACACAATCTATCCATCCTTTCTTCGGTCTTCCTCTTCCTTTGTAGCCATCCACATTCAATCTTAACACTTTCTGGTTTATGTCCCCATCATTTCGTCGCATACTTTCAAACTTCCTCTTATGTACACATTCTTAACTTTATCCATTCATGTCACATAAAAAAACATTCAGACGAATTGAGTACCTCCTTTTGGGAAGTCGGTAAAAAAATAAACATTAAAATAATGACAAAATCTACAATTTAGGACTTAGATGTATTTACGTTGGAGCCGAATTAAAGTTACAAGATTATGAAATGTGTAAAACTGTTACTTTGAAATTTTATTATTGTATTTTTTTGTCACTATAAAAATAGAATAAAAACGTCTACTTACCAGTTTTAGGATAATTAAATATGAAATCTTTCGGCGGGAGAACTACAGAAGGAACCGGTCCTTCTACTCCTGTAGGAACTTCTAGATCCTTCTCTGTCTCTATCACATGGAAACTAGACAACTTTGGATTGTCTACTTCCGGTTTATTTGTGTCTTTATCATTCGGATTTCGTTTCTCAACAATTGTTTCATTAAATTCATATTTATGTTTTATAATTTCATTTATTTCTCCGTTAATGTAATTTATTTGTGATTCAAACATATTTGATAATGCCGAATAATCTATTGAATTATTTATTTCTGGTTTGACGTTTTCGTTTGGAGTTTCAGTGTTTTTATTATCTTTTTTATATAGATTTTCAAACATTGGGTCTTCTAATGGTGTACCTTCAGGTATATCTTGGAAGGTGAAGTCTTGGTTGATGAGGAGCTCTCCGGTGTCGAGAGACCTCGCTTTTTCAAATAGATTGTCTGTCTGTTGGTATGTGTCGTGTGAGACAGGAGATGGACAGTCTTCTGGTATTGTGTACATCTGGAAAATAAGATTTTAAATTATAATTTGGATGGTAGATATCGGATTTGAAGGTATTGAGAACTAGCTTTCACCCGCGACTCCGTCTGCGTGGAATAAACAAAAGTGAGTAGCCTATATGTTCCAGACTATCCTCTACATCTATACAAAACTTCAATTTATACAATCTATACAAAATCCATCTAAATTTACGAATTTATAATATTAAGGGCCTGTCCATTGAAATTGTCAATTGTCTGCTAACAATCCAACATGTAAAATCAGATTTTGTTCCCTTATCTGACAATGAGTTCATTTGTAAGCTATCTGAGTTTATAACAGCCAGTTATGGGACAGGCCCTATGTAAACAGTTACCTGTACATCGCTGACAGTGGGCTGATAGTAATCAGTGAGTTTGACATGTGCGGGCCGAGTGCGGGCGCGCGGCCCCACCGCGTGCAGCACGTAGCAGCGGTGCTGGCCACCACCACCACCACCCCCACCCTCACCAGCTCCAGCAGCCCCCAGGTACATCGTCACCTTGCTGCCCGAGCTGGACATCTCTATACGACGCAATACTGTAACAAAAATAGCAAAATTGCTTTTTTCTCTACACTATATTACTAGAATTGTCCCCTAAATTAGTCAATAATTAAAACGAATATCGATAGTTCACAATTATTCGTACTATTAAGTACCTGTCTATTAAGTACGGCATTTCCTTCGTAGAAATAGAATTCTATACTTCATATGCGTCATTTATCAAACTTTTTTTTTTATAACATAAGGTGGCAAACGAGCAAGCGGCCAACTGAAACCGCCAAAGCTGCCGCTGCCTAGACATCCGCAATTGCAGATGTGTTGCCACCCCTTAATTGACGGAGGAAGAGACGCACATCATCCACCGTCAAATCCACTTCCCCTTCCCAACCTCTCCTTTTAAGAAAAGGGTGGTAAAGAGAAAGGGACTTAAATAAAGCCTCCGGCACCACACTCATCAGACGAAACACGGCATTGGTTCCATTTGACGCCTGTCTTCTGTGTGGTCGTGGTATTGCACCGGGCGAGCCCTGCACTGCTAACATGTTAAAGCCGGCACTGCCACTGTTAAACTAATCTATCTTTAGACAAACTATAGTAAAGTGAGGTGTGTGTGCTCACGCATGTCGTGGTGCAGCTGGCTGTAGAGGCGGCGAGCGTCTGCGCCGTACCCGCCCGGCAGCCACGCCTCCAGCAGCGCCATCGCCGGGAACTGCCCACCCCACAACACGCATATCTGCAGCAAACACATAACATAGCATAAGGTGGCAAACGCGAGAACAGCCAACTTAATTCGCCGAGAAAGCGAAGGGACCGCTGTCCATAGAATCCGCAATTGAAGATGCGTTGCCTACCTTTGACGGAGGAGACGCACAGAAAGAGGACATATACCCTTCCTATGCGTCTCCTCCACCTTCAAATCCACTTTTCCTTTCCATCCTATTCTTGTGAGAAAAAGGGTGGAAAAGAAAGCGGACTATCGTCAGGCCTCCGACACCACACTCATCAGAATGTACTCGGAATTGCTTCCACTTCATCTGTCCCTGTCTGTACCTCTATGACCGCAGCGCAGTAACAAGAGGTGCCGTTATCTCTGCAGTGGAATGCGCCCTCAGTGCGCACCGCCACCAGCGCCCGCAGCGACTGCGCGCTGCTCCTGCTCACCCCCGAATGGTAGGAGCGCGTTGCTTGTACCACTGCGCAACCACTGCCTGCAATACATTCATTTACTAGTTTAAAAAAAAAACATCATAAACGGTCCAGTTGATTACTAGAAACAAATGCAGAGAGAAAAAAGTATTATTCGTTATCTGCCTTTTCTTATTACACTAATTGTTACTCGTGACTTTGCCCATGTGTATTTAAAATAGCCAATGTTACTCACTGATAACGTAACTTTTATTGGAGAAAAAATTTTTGAAATCGGCCCAGGTTTTTGAGTTATCAATACATACAAAAATACAAATCATTCCTCTTTATAGGCTAGCTTCCATCCGGTACTCCGTTCGCGTGGAATAAAAAAAAGTAAGTATGTGTTCTTCTAGACTATTCTCTACATCTATACCAAATTTAATCGAAATCCGTTCAGCCGTTTAGGCTACAAACTCTAACAAACATCCATCCATCTAAACTTTCGCATTTATAATATTAGTAAGATATTAGTATGCAAGTAAAGACAGACACTAAAATTCTTTAAACATTACCCGAGGTATAGAAAAGTATTATTTTGTAGTTACCTTGAACAGAGACAGTAAGCTGGTGTCCAGTGCCCAGTGCGGCGAGTGCTGGCAGCCTGTTGCCGGGCACCACGCTGATACTGGCCTTGTTAGCCTCACTGCTCACTGACACACTCAGGTTGGATGGCTGAGTGTGCGACGACCACGCGGTTATAGCCTCCATCGCTACTAATGTGTCCTAAGAGAATGTAAAATTGAGTCCGGCTGTATGAGGTAGCGTGGCCGAGCGGTCTAAGGCGCTGGTTTAAGGCACCAGTCTCTTCGGAGGCGTGGGTTCGAATCCCACCGCTGCCAGATTTTTTTATTATTAGAGCGTGGACACACCTTTGACTAAACTGTCTCAGAACTATTTCCCCTACTATATTTCCCCTTCTCATTCTTACCTAATACCAATAGTACCGTGCTAAAGATTTTAGGATAGATAGAATAGGACTTTATAACGGCCAGTCATAAATTGTGTAGACTTATCGGCGTCATTTAGTGTTACAATATGCCAGTTTGTTGCAAGTCCAGAAATTGAACGCCAACCAACTGGACTGGGCAAGTGTAAACCGCCAGTCGTACTGTACTGGGCTTGTAAGAACCGTGCATATTGTCGTACTGTACTGGGCAAGTGAAAACAACGCTGTACTGTCTTACTGGACTGGGCAAGTGAAAGCTGCAAATACTGTAATACTGTACTGTATAAGTGTGAATCGCGCAACTACTATCATACTTTAATAGCTTAGTGTGAACCGGAAATACTGTCATACTTTACTGGGCTAGTATGAACCGGGCATTAGTTCAGAGTGTGTTCAGTGTGCGGTGTACCTGTGTGGAGAGGAAGCCGCCCTGCGGGCCGGTGTGCGCCGCCAGCCAGCGCAGCACGGCGCGCGCGTCCTCCGCGCACACCGCGGCCAGCGCCGCGCCGCAGCGCCGCAGCGCCAGCAGCGCGTACGCGCTCGCCTCTATTGACGTCGACAGGGACCCTGGATGTACATGAATTAAGTTTTAACAGTGGTATACGCCTGTAATATCTGTTACATGAATGTGAAGTGGAAACGATTCCCTTCCTATCTTTTTTTATATTATAAGAAAAGAACATTAGAAAGGGAAGCGACTATGAAACTATACACTCGCTCTTGTAAATGTCTGTGGGAAGTGGTTGTTTTGCTATTTTAGGTAACCGCTAGCTTATTTACCATCTTACGAAACAAAAAAAAAACTTTACTAATCAACTTACCACTCTCCCAATACACGTACTCCTTATTCCTCTTAGCGAGTTTCAACAAGAGTACCAGCTCCCTCAACTCCTCGTCCTCCATCAGCCCGCTGGCCACCTCCTTCTCCCGAAGGTACGCCTCGTTGGTCCTCTTCAAGTCCTCCTCGTGATTCCTCAGACGCATGAGGGCGTACGCCAGCAGGGAGTGCGCGTATACCCCAGCATGACTCTTGGACTTGGATAGAGGGAAGGCGCGCAGACAGGAGAGGGAGTTCCGGATCACCCTGGAGGGGAGGTCCGCCGCGCCCTCTATCAGGGAGGTGATGACGTACGCGGTCAGACCCACGCTGGCTAATTCCCCATCTTCGTCCAACCCACCCTGTTTTATGTTTAGGATAAATTAGTAACAATACATTTTAGTTTTATGATTCTATATTCTTACAGCCTTACAAATAAACGCGGTGTAAAGTTAACCTTAGGTATAAACTGAGTATAACCAAAATTCGTACTAACATTTACTTATACTTAGTTTATCCATAAGTTTACCTTTATATCGCGTTTATTTGTAAGGCTGTTAGAGATTTTAAGATCAGGTATTATTTATCTGGAAAAATAAGTTTTGTACAAAAACTACTCTGTTTGGTAAAACAATAATTAACAGTAGATGGCGCTTAGTACAATTATTAATAACATAAAAATATTAGACGAATTGATTACTTTTTTCTTTTGGAAAGTCGATCAAAATACAGAAGAATGTCTAACAAACAGAAACGAATTTTAAATACTCCGTTTAGTAAGCGCTGCTTACTACAATCTAATACGTTTCTGAAATGTTGAAGCACTCAGAGTCTTAATAGTCACTTAAGATTGATTAATGTAGAAATTAATGATATTAAGAAGTATACCATGAGTTCAGTATGGAAGACCTGACCCTCGTTACGGAAGCAGCCGTTCTCCATCTGCTGAGTGAGCAGCCAGCGCTCCGCCTGGCGCAGCACCGCCGGAACACCCGCACCCGGGGACAATATCTACATCAAAATGTTATTAACTAGCTATTGCTCCCGATCGTCCACGTATAAATAACAAATATAGCCTATCTTTCTCATTAATAACGTAGTTTGCTAATGGTGAAAGATTTGAATTTGAAGATTTGAATTTGAAATCCTCCCAGTAGTTTTTGAGTTATTTCAATATTCAAAAATACAATTTTTTTCCTCTTTACAATAGTATAGTTTACGTTTACATGACTTGGATTTATCTACGAGGTATTGCTAAAGTTAAATCTAATTGTAAAAGCGATAGTTTAGAAAACAAAGATTTTTTTTTAAATTATCTATTGTGTGTGGCAGAGAAGATTGATGTATAAATGCAACATGCATTTAAGGGTCAAAGGGGGCTATGTAGGTACCCGGTGAGCGCGGTGCAAGTAGCGTAGACAGAAGGCGGTGAGCCAGGTGGAGGGCGCGGGGTCTGAGGGTCCGAACGCGCTGAACCCACCCCCCAAGTGCGCGTATTGCAGCTGCCGCGTGAACCCTGGACACATTGTTATCTTACTAAGGCGGTAAATGAAAACTGGCATGCTAATTACAAGTATTTTACACATGCCAGTAAAATATCAAAATGAAACAGAGTAGTCAATAGCTTCGTACTTCTCTAATCCCTGCTCTAATCTAATTTCCAGGCAGCTGTCAAAAAGTTGGTTCAGAAAAAAAAAAACATCATTTAGCAACCATCCGGGTCTATAGGATGTTGGGCAAAAACTTGCTTAATCGGATAGCGATGAGCAATATCTAGGATGTCCAAGAATGATGGAGCTGGAAAATAGTTAAGGTCTGTACTATAGAGTGCGTATACAGTACATTCCAGTAATTAGCCTATACAAAGTTACTGGCTTGTGTGTGGTAGTGTAGTGGTGGGTACCTCTAGCAAGGTGTTCCCTGGCAGCGGCTGCCTGGGGCGCGCGCGGGTCCAGCAGGCGCAGCGCCAGCAGGTTGGTGGCCAGCCGCGCCATGTTCTGCTCCCCGCAGCCGCGCGGCAGCGACACCAGCGCGTCCGCGTCCTACACACAATACCACATATACTCAATTAAACATTATTAATAAGTTTAAAAGTTCATTTTGCTACTATGTCGACAATTGGTGCATTTACCTTAAGATTACGATTAGTGTTTAAATTCGAAACTGTTATAATGCTAGAAAGTATTCAAAAATATTTTCGAAATCAACATATGCTAAGAATAATAAGCGTCGCTAGAGGAGAATAATCAGCCTCCATTCTAGAAAGTCAAGAACCAATAGCCTACCTCTAGACTTAAAGCGGTTCACACTTAACCAGTACAGTTGGACAGTTCTTTTTTTATTTATATATCATAAGGTGGCAAACGAGCAAGCGGCCACCTGAAATCGCCAAAATGGCGAAGCGACGGCTGCCCATAGACATCCGTAATTGCAGATGCCTTGCCTACTCTGAATCAACGGAGGAGGAGACGCACATAAAGATGATATTTTTCCCCTTCCTATGCATCTCCTCCACCGACAAATCCACTTCCACTTCCCAACCTCTCCTTATAAGAAAAGGGTGGTAAAGAGAAAGGGACTTAAATTAGACCTCCGAAAACAGTTGCAATGGTCAGTCAGCTTGTATAGACTCATTGACGCCAGTTATTGTTCACACTGTGCCACTCAAGTGACAATCCAGTTATTGATCGTTACCAACTGTACTGGCCAAGTGTGAACCGTATTAGGCTAAATAGAAAACTTACGGCAAGTAGTGGTCCTATGCCATCAGACACGGCCCACACGGTGAGGTTCTCTGTGCCCGGCACCGCCGCCTCCTGCGCCCATGACCACGTCACGTTGGACCCCATAGGCTCTGATGACCCTGGATATCAATCCACATATAAATTAAAAAATACATGAAATAACCATAGTTAAATAAATAGGTAATTAGGTGCTTTAGTGGTTCTAAATCATAATATAGACAAATAACACAATAGCATGTTTGTAAATGTGTTACATTTTTAATAACATGAGGTGGCAAACAAGCAAGCGGCCACCCGAATCCGCCAAATGGCGAAGCGACCGCTGCCCAAAGACATCCGCAATTGCAGATGCGTTGCCTACCCCTATCCGACGGAGGAGAAGACGCTCATAAAGAAAATATTTCCCCTTCCTACATCTCCTCTACCGTCAAATCCACTTCCTGTTCCCATCCTCTCCTTATAAGAAAAGGGTGGTAAAGAGAAAGGGACTTATATTAGGCCTCCGGCACCACACTCATCAGACTGTACACGGAATTGCTTCCATTTGACGCCTGTCTTCTGTGTGGTCGTGGTATTACTGGGGGCGTGCCCTGCAGTGCTAAGATGTTAAAGCGGGCACTTTTAACCCATAAGGTTAAAAGATTTGTAAAAATTTTTTCTACTATAAAACTAGTGCTTTTTCATATAATGTAGGTTTTATCAGGAAATCTCATGAGCTTTGGATCTTAGCCTATTAGCATTGGAAGAAAAGTAAAAAAGAATTTTGCGCTTAAATGACACTAAACTAAACTATCGATTACTGGTACATTTACCGTATCATGTGTACATTTGTTACATTAAAGTAAATAATATTATTTTACCTGGAGCACAGAGCATCGTTGACTTGTGTTCCTGCACCGGCACGCCCTCTGGCTCCACTTGGATTTCTAGTACTATTTCATCACTGGAAAACGATGTGAATATACATTTAATCAGTATAAAATGTGTAAACCATTTGATTCTATGTTCTTCTTGATGTGTGTAAATGCTTTGAACTAGATCAGAAGAAATAGATCTCTGATTTCCATACATTTTTTTAATACTATGTGGAGGAAGTCGTGGACAACTATCATACTTCATATGTCATACTAATATTATAAATGCGAAAGTTTAGATGGATTTCAATGAAATCACACATAGGCTATACTTGTTTTTTTTTTTTTTATTTCCACGGACGGAGTCGCGGGCGACAGCTAGTCTAGCTAACATACCTGACGTCATTCTTGTGGGTGTTGCCACATTTATCGTCGTTAGTAGCTTGCGCACGTATACGCAGCTTAGCGACGCCGGGCACGCGTGCGCGCAGCTCGACGCGCCGCGCCGCACTGCCGCGCGCGGACACGCACGCGGACTCGATGCGGTTAGCGCCATCTAAGTGCGGGTCCGCTAACACTTGGATTTGAACCTGGGAAAATATTACTGTATTTTGGATTATGCCGAACCGTCACCCCGTTTTGTCCCCACGTGGGAACAGATGACAATAAAAAGTTACATCCGTCTCACTTTTTGCGACGAGGGGACGGTTGGAACAAATTTTATTTGATAACGGTTCCATCTGTCACCTTATTGGTGATAGTGGGACTAAAAGGTGAGACGGTTGAAACTTTTTATGCTCACGTGGGGACAGAGCCGGGTGATGTTTGGGAATAAGCCTGTATTTTAACCAAAAATTCTGGGTGGAATTAAAAAAAAGGAGTAAGCATATTTGTACTTCCACGCTTTCATCGAAATTCGTTATATAATTTAGGTTATAAACATCCATCCATCCATCCATCTATACCTTCCCATTTATAAGTAAGAATTATATGACAATGAATATAAGATATAAAATGCCGTTTTTAAAATGGTTTTTCAACTTAATAGTTTTAAAACGAACATTACTTTCTGTGTAAAATATTTACTTACGCTAAGTGGTTCGAATAAGTAGTTGAAGAGGCGATATTGTATTATCGTGTTATCACCACGACGTAAAGTTTTGGGGGCGTCAGCATGGATGAAGAACTCGCGGAACACCTGCAAATGTCAACACTAACATTGATTAACGTAATCTTATAAAAATAATAGTATTAGGGGCTACGGTTTCCGCAATACAACGGCTAGCGTATTTTGCATAATATAACACTAATAAGAAGTTTGCGGTGTCATTTTCATTACGATATACCCTTAAATAAAGTGAAAATGATTTTTTTCTTATAATATAAGGCGGCAAACGAGCAAGCGGCTAACTGAATCCGCCGAAATGGCGAAGAGACCGCTACTTATAGACATCCGTAATTGCAGAAGCGTTGCCTACCCTTTATGGACGAAGGAGAGGACGCATATAAAAAGGATATTTTTTCTTCCATCTCTGCCGTCAAATCCAACGGTTCCTTCCCATCCTTTCCTCTCAAGAAAAGTGTGCTTGTTGTTTACAGTGCAGACCTGCAGTTGCGCGGGGCTGGAGACGGCCAGGCCGGTCCTGGCGAGGCAGAGCGCGCGCGCCTCGTACAGCGTGATGGCGTCGGGCGCGCGGGCGGAGGTGTGCGCGCGCCCGCCCAGCCCCACCGCCGCCAGCCGCCACAGCCACGCCTGCACACCGGCTCGAGGGACCATCGACACTACTCACATGTCTATACTAATATAATAAAGCGTAAACACACACTATTTTGTGGCGTAGGATCTCAGCTATCATAGAATATTATTGAGTAATTTTTAATTTAATAAAAAGCCTTACACAACGCTTTAGGCTATATGTTTTCAAGTTATTATACTTAGGGGATTAAAATCAGACAAAAGACTTTATGTGGGAAAGGGACCGTAAACTACAAGCTGCCAACGTCAAGGAAGCAAAGTTGTCCCTGTTTGTCATCGTGTCATGTGAAAACTCCGATAAAATATATCACACCGTTTCAAAGATTACGAATTTTAAAGACAAGAGAGTTTCAAAAATAAGATTTTTTTTATCATTTAGAGACATGTTGATGAAATGATTTTTTTAATATTTCACACAAATATTTAATTTTGATAATTGTAGAGATTTATTAGAATTAATATTTAAACAAAAGAATTAAGTGTTGTTATACAATTTTATTATAAATTTAATTATCTCATGCCTAAAACATAAGGTACTTTGACTAACTGTTATTAAGACAAACTTGAACTCTAATTGCAAATTACAGAGCACGCTATCGTTCGCTAGATGTCGCTAATCGGTAATAACCAGTCCTAAGTGGAACTTTGAACCTCTGAGGCATCGGCAGACTCGTTATAACGTACATTATTGAATTTCACATTACATTGCAGATTATAATAGTAACACGAATTTTGTCCTAACAATCCAATTCAATACTAATCTTGTTAGAAATAAGGTTGATTTTGCCATATAAGGTAAACAACTAATTCATCGGTTTATATAATCTTGTTTTCAATTAGTTTCTCAAAGCGTTTAAGTTCCAAACATTAGCTACTTGATTAAAGGTTCTAGACTTCTTACTAATATTATAAATACGAAAGTTTAGATGGGTGTATGGATGTTTGTAGCCTAAATTACTGAACTGCTCTGGATGAAATTTGGCACAGATGTAGAAGATAGTCTGGAAGAACACAGTGGCTATTTATTTTTGATTTTTTAATTCCACACGAACGAAGTCGCAGGCGAAAGCTAGTACAAAATAACGTCTGTGTTAATAAAAAAAATGGGATTAGCATATTTTCGATAGAACCTCAGAGAAGTCAGTCCTGGGCTGAGTATCGAGTTGCCGAAGGGGCGCGGGGCCCAGGGCGGGTGCCGGGGCGGGGCCGCAGCGGCGCGGGGGCGGCGCCTCGCCCAGGGCGCGCACGCCCGCCGCCGCCAGCCACGCGTGTGTTAACTCCAAACTGTTTGAAGGCAGCTCCGCTTCATCACTCGCTGGAACACCAATAATGAAAGTCTATAAGAAAGCATTGAAAATAAACTAATCTTGCTGTTCTGTTTTGAATTTAGCTATGTATTGTTGACTAGCTTTAGCACGCGACTGCGTCCATGCCAAAGGTTACCATTAATATCGTCATATTGTCCTTAATTAGCACTTTCTGTGTGAAGGGGGTTTCACTGCCTCTACTAGCAATAAATGTGACTTTATGAAAATTTACCTATCCTATGGTGAAAGAATTTGCGTAACGGTAAAGTAGTTTTAAAGTTTATTGCATACAAAAATACAAATCTTTCCCTTTTATAATCATACTTCATACTATTATTTTAAACGCGGAAGTTTGGATGGATGGATGGATGTTTGTTAGAGTTTGTAGCCTAAATGGCTGAACGACTTTTGATTAAATTTGGTATGATGTAGAGATAGTCTGGAAGAACACATAGGCTACTTTTATTTTTTTAATCCCACGCGGAGGGAGTCACAGTAATAAATAAATGTAACATACTCAGAAAACATTCTCCAGCGGCGTCATATTCCGTGAGGTTCCTATGACTTTCGAGCAATGTCTTCAGGGCATGCAGCAGGGAGTCCTTGAGGGGCTGGTGCTGGCCCAGCGCGGCGCTGTCCACCGCGGAGAGCGCGCACAGCGCCGGCCCCGCCGTGCTCAGCTGCAGCGTGGCTACCGCGCCCGGAGACACCTGCCGGGATGACCAGCTCACATCCACCTGGAAGGAAACACCACGAGTTAGGACGTTGCATGGATACAGATTTTATTTTGGGCGTTAGATGACGATCTTTGAAGGCAGCCATATTGTCAAGAGAGGGGGAGGTAGATGAAGGTAGTAAAAATAATCTTATAATCTTCTCAATAGGTTGTCTGATTTATGAAAAACAGACAAATCTATCAAATAGTGACCCCTAGAGATTGTAAGCTTAGTATTTTGAAATAATACAAATATTTTACAATTTTATAATACACCAATTAATCTAACTAATATAAAGAGGAAAGATTTGTATTTTTGTATGTATTGAAATAACTCAAAAACTACTGGGTCTTTTTAAAAATACGTTTCACCGTTAGATAGGTAATATATCTGCAACATAAGCTTTATTTTTTTTACGTTCACGCGGATGAAGTCGCTACCAATAGCTAGTTCATAAAGAATTTCTTAGGAGGAGGTGGCCGTTCCCCCTTGAGATACCTATACTATGGAGTTCACCTTATTAGCAAAGCATTCATCCATCTCGAAGTGCTTGCTGGCGCTGACCAGCTCCCCATTGTGGTAGAAGTACGCGAGGAGATGGCTGTCGGGGCACATCTGGTGTGTGACCTTGATGGGCAGCATCACCCGCAGTAGGTGGCGGTCCAATACATCACTGGCGTTCATCTCCAGCTGGTTGTAGTCTGCATCCAAGTTGTTGAGTCCAGCGTCCAGCGGCATGACGCGTTCTGTGCCGCACGAGCTGTTCCTGGCTGCAGGTTCGATTTGGACGCCAGATCTTGCAGTCGCACACTGCGTTGTCGCACCCCAACGGTAGATTATACCACCACGAGTTATTACCTGGAGAATTACAAAAAAATATTAAATATATCAGTTTTAAGAATGCTTTTGCGGTGAAAAACACCACACAGAAGACACGTGCCAAGTGGAAGCAATAACATGGACTGTAATGGATCTCAAGGTCCTGTCTCCAAGTTTTAGTCCTGTCTCCTTTTCTGTCACGTCTGTCTTACGGATCTTGATGATTACGTTTCCGTAATCATCAAGATCCGTACAACAGTTTAGGCTACATACTCTAATATCCATCCATCCATACTTTCGTATAGTAAGCGGAGTATTACCGCTCCCTTCTTTCCCATTCCATCCATTTCTTAAAAGGAAAGGATTGGATGGGAAACTTATTTGACGGTGGAGACGCATAGGAATTGAAAAAAATTATGTGCGTCTCCTCCATCGATTTAGGATAGGCAGAGCATCTGCAATTGCGGATGTTTATAAGCAGGGGTCGCTTCGCCATTTATGTGGCCGCTTGCTTTTCCACCTTATCTATACTATTATAATAAAGCGTAAACACACACTTCTTTGTTGCCTAAGATATCAGCAATTACAGCATATTTTTCAATAGTTCGTTTTTTAATAAAAAGTCCTAAACTTACGTCACGCTTTAGGCTACATATTTTCACGCCATTAAACTTAGGGGTAAATATTTTGGATAAAAGCCCTAATGTGGGAAAGAGACCATAAGTTGCTGCCAACATCAAGGAAGCAAGACTGCCAAGGTTTGTCATGTCATGTCATTTTGACATTTGCTACTGATAATTTGACAAATGTGAACAATAAAATAAAGTGTTCATAATTTCATGCGGATGAAGCCGCACGAGAACAGCTAGTTGTATGTAAGAATTACCACAAAGTGGACAGTGAGTGGCTTGGTGAGGTCGGTGATGTTAAGGTAGAGGGGCAGCAGCGTGCGCGCGGCGCGGGAGTCCGCCCGCAGCGGGCCCAGCGCCGCCGCACCCCGCGCGCCCAGCGCCCCCGCCGCCGCCCCGCGCACCCGCAGCCGCAGCGTAGCGCTCGCGTTCTGCAGCCGAGCCTGGCAGACAAACACTTTATATCTGACTTGTATTATAAATGCGATAGTTTATATGGATGTATGGATGGATGGATGGATGGATGGATGGATGGATGGATGTATGGTTGTATGGATGTTTGTTAGAGTTTGTAGTCTAATCGGCTGAACGGATTTCGGTGAAATTTGGTACAGATGTAGAAGATAGCCTGGAAGAACACATAGGCTACTCACTTTTGGTTTTTTTAATTCCACGCGGACGGAGTCGCTAGTGAAAGGTAGTTGATAATATGTCGTTTTTATATCCTGGAAATCCTGTAAACTTGGAACTTTAGGCTAAAAACGGTCACCTTTGATTATACTATCGTAAAGCTGTTTTACGATTGTGGATTGTTTCGCTAGTTGAATTGGTTGAGTTGCAGAATTAAAAATCGAGTTGTAAGCTCGTAGGAATCAAGAGAGACTTAACAGTTATGCGATAGTTTGGTCAAAGGAGTGTGCATGCAAGTGGTTGGCAACGTGTGGCTCTTTGGATTCTTGAGTGCGGTTCTGATTTTGTCTGATTTTTATTTTTAAATAGAAAATTTAGTTTAATTTTAATTGTAATTACAAAAAAAATTGGAAGCCAAATTGCACTAAAGGATACTTATACAAGCACACTTTAGTGCAATAAAAGTTAACTAAACAAGTAAAGGCTCCCATTTATAATATTCATATTTGGAGAAATAACAAAGAACCAAATTGTATATTAAAAAAGAGTACTTCGAAGTCATAGAAGGCGCTATCTTCAGCATCCGGGGTGAACATAACCCGAGCGACGCCGCGTGCGTCGGTGAGTGCGGAGACGCAGGTGCGGGGGGCGTGGCGCGGGGCGGCGCGCGGGGCGGGGCGCCGGCACACACGCACACTCTCACCGGACGCAGGCTTGTCATCCCAACGTGTAGCTTTCACCTGGAATTGAAACAATAATTGAATTTTTCACTTAAATTAATTGAAGCGCAAATAGCCAATTTTAACAGTGGTAGAGCCCGCTTTTACATCTTCGCACGAATGGACCAGCTCGCACGGTGTAATACCAAGACCACACAGAAAACAGGCGTGAAATGGAAGCAATTCCGCGTTTCGTCTGATGAGTGTAGTGCCGGAGGCCTAATTTTAGTCCCTTTACCTTTCCACCCTTTTCTTAAGAGGAAAGGATGGGAAGGAAATGGATTTGACGGTGGAGGAGACGCATAGGAAGGGAAAATGTCCTCTTTATGTGCGTCTCCTTCTCCGTTAAGGGTAGGCAACGCATCTGCAATTGCGGAAGTTTATGGGCAGCGGTCGCTTTCCATTTCGGTGTATTTAGGTGGCCGCTAGCTCGTTTGCCACCTTATATTACAAAAAAAAGCCTCATGGTTTGTGGTACGGACTACCGATCTTGCGGTCGAAGGTTCGAATCCCGCCATTCGATTGTGAAGCATATCCTAGCACAAGCCTAGAGATTAGTTGGAATGGTTAAAGGAAATATTAGTCAATAAACAAAAATCTAATATTTTTCCTGAAAAATTGAATTAAAAAAAATTACAATCCTGTTACGGATGTGAATTTAGATTGAAATATAAGATTACTTTCAACTTATACGGTAGACTAGGAGATACGACTGCCCGATGCTTCGTAAGGAACTCGATGGTCACAGGGTCGTCTACGACTTGGGATACCACAGTCGTGTTCTGCCAGATTCTTGTACCTTCTTCCTGTAATACAAAAAAAATCATACTCGTTAATATTATAAATGCGAAAGTTTACTTGGATTTTTATTAGAGTTTGTAGCCTAAACTGCTGAACGTATTTCGATGAAATTTGGCATAGTGGAAGATTTAGGCCTAATTTTAATTTCTTTCCCTTCCCACCATTTATAAGAGACGTATAGGAATTCAGGTGGCCGCTCGCTCGCTACCTTATTACAAAAAAAGGAACTCATAAGTATACTTTTGTTTATTTTGTAACTCGACGCGGTGTACAGTCGAAAGCTAAAGAAAAATGATTGTTATATTCTAGTGTTTGTTCCTGTACCTGGAAACTGAAGTCAGCTACGACCACATCAGGTGTGTTCAGTCCTGCCAGCCCCACGCGGCGTGCGGCCGCGGCGTGGCGGTGACACGCACGCGGCGCACGTATCCGTACAGCGGTGCGCACCCCCGAGCTACCTCCCCCACCCCCGCTCCCGCCCCCGCCCGCACCACGCAACCTGATCACTAACATACCCTCCACCGCTTCCGTCCAAGGATACCTAGAGAGAATACAATCTTGAATCTAGACCAATATAAAGCGTAAACACACTAAGTTATGTAGGACTGTTCGCGACTTCGTCTGCGCGAAATAAAAAAAATAATAAAAAATATGTTACTCGATAACGTAGCTTTTTAATGGTGGAAGAATTTTGAAATCGGTCTACTAGTTTGAGTTATTTCAATACATACAAAAATCCAAATACTAATACTCCTTTGTTAGCTTTTTAACTATTTTTGATGTATTCTGTATTCTTAAAAGTTATTTGTTAATCTGTGCTGTTTATCAATACATTTATCTTTATTTAAAACAACAATATTGTTAGGAAAATATTAGGAAATTGAAGGAATAGTGGGGGGGTAGTTTTATAAAGTATATGGCAAGGAGGGTCGGGCGCTCAGTCGCCAACAAGGTCAGTGTTGTACTAGTCGTCACAACGAACGTTCGATATATTTGAGTTGTTCATTGTAGTTCAGTTTGTGTGTTTTAAAGTAATTTACAAGTATTGTTAATATGGCCTTCCGTCTATATTTTAAAGGTAGTCATTTGTGGAAATATCTAACACCTTGTATTGTATGCAATAACAGTATATTTTTGAATACTTCATTTTTTAATAAAATTTAGGCTATATATTTTTACGTGATTAAAATTAGAAAGTAAGTAATTTGGAAAAACTGTCATGCGGGAAAGAGACAAAAACTACAATGCTGCCAACTCAACGTCAAGGCCCTTCGTTCTGATTCAAGCATTTGCAATTGAAAGTTTTACGAAATGTAAACAATGAGATACAGTTATAATAATTTCAAACTTATGAAGCATGGGAACAGCTAGTATAAGGTAAACTCTGTAAAGAAGTTATGGAAAAAAGTAATTAAAAATATAGTAACCTGACGCAAACAGTCCAAACAAGTCTCTCGCTGGTCCGCAGCACGCGCGGGGAATGCCGTACTGTCAACTGGAACGGAGGCAGTTCGTAGTTCCCCACCCAGAACGTAGTTGAACCCTGAAATAGACAGATTCCTTCACAGATATACCAACCGCTGAAGGAACTGATGCTGGACTGGCACGACAAAGATAGCGTTGTCTTGTTTAAATCACGCTCACTTCAGGTAACTGCGCAGTAAATGTATATATTTTTAACAGTAGTAGCCCGCTTTAACCTCTTCGCATTGTAGACGACAAGAAGACAGGCGCCAAGTGGGAGCAATTCCGCGTTTTAATTGATGAGTGGGGGTGCCGGAGACCTATTTATAGTACTTTTCTCTTTACATCAAAGGGTGACTAGAAAGAGGCCTAACTAGGAATAGAAGGACTTAAGAAAATCCTTAAGAAAGGATGGGAAGGAAAAGATGATTTGTCGGTGGAAGAGACGCATAGGAAGGGAAAATATCCTCTATGTTTGCGTCTACACCTCCGTCGAAAGGGGTGATCGCTTTGCCATTTCGGCGGATTCAAGTGGCTTGCTCGTTTGCCACCTTATGATATAAATAAGTCTTCTGGGAGTGTTTCTTTTTCTGTAAGTATGTATACCTGTGAGCCGTCAGCAAGGCGTGCCCTGACAGTCCAAAGGCCTGGTGGTGCGTGGTCGTCAAGATGGTGCTGAAGTTGCGCGAGTCCGAGGCGTGTCCGCAACTGCCGCCATTGCGCAACCCGGACCCCCTCCCATGCACCTTGAGGACCTTCCAGCCAAACCTCATCTATCTACAACATAAATGTAAGACTTTTGTATGGAAAACAAGAAAACGAATGTGCATACAGAAAGGAAGACTTCAGTTTAAATGTCTATTTCATTATTGACTAGCTTTTGCTCGCCACTTTGCGTGAATTTAATAAATAATAAATCCACAGCCGATGTTACAGATAACGTAGCTTTTTAATGGTGAACGAATTTTTGAAATCGATCCAGTAGTTTTTAGAGTTACTTCAATGCATACAAAAATCTAAAAATACAAATATTTCCTTTTTATAATATTAGCATTAACTAGCTTTCGCCCGCGACTCCGTCCGCATGGAATTAAAAAAAACTGAGTAGCCTATGTGTTCTTCCAGACCATCCTCAAAATCTATAAATCTGTACCAAATTTCATCGAAACCCGTTCAGTCGTTTAGGCTACAAACTCTCACAAACATTCATCCATCTAAGCTTTCGTATGTATAATATTAGTATGATTAATAAAATGGTTATATCGCTATTTGATTTAAATAAAAAAAAAATGAATCGCAATGACATTAAAATATCCAATGACCCGGATTTCTTAATTCAAAATTTACAGTTACAAATTAAAAACCAAACAAAAACCTCGCGTATGAACAAATTGCTTGCTAAGTATTTACTTGGTCGTGTTTACTTGTGGGTCGTCCCGGTGACCTTAACCCACTGACCCTATTGCAGAACGAGTCTTATGAAAAAAATCTTTTTCCGCATTTACTAGAGATGTATATTTTTATTGTAAACTAGTTTTGCTCGCGACTCCGTCCGCGTGGATTTAAAAAAAAAACAAAAGTGAGTAGCCTATGTGTTCTTCCAGACTATCCTCTACATCTATGCCAAATTTCATCGAAATCCGTTCAGCCGTTTAGGCTACAAACTCTAACAAACATCTATCCATCCATCTCAACTTTCACATTTAAAATATTGTAACCTAATAAAACTGCTAAAGCGTTTATGTATGATAATTATACATATATTTGTTACTGGGTTTGTTTATTAATTGTGTGCACTCGAAGTATGCCAGCGTGCCAACCGGTCTCCGCCTCGTCAACAACGGAGCTCCAGCTAACGTGGACCGGTTCCGTTGGGAACGGGATCAACCAGCCAAAGCTTTCGCTAACATAGACCAGTGTAAGTTGACCGTAACAAAGTTAAGGGTCCATTGTTACGTAAGTCACGTCAAAAATATTAACCGAATGCTACACATAGGGCAAATTACTGGAAGATAAACTAAATGCCATCTTAGTAATATTGTATAAGTTTTCCCGTCTACAATTAATGTAAATTGAATCTACACAGATTAATCATTTTAATTTGAGTACACATAGTACGTTACATCATTAACGTTGACGTGACGGATATGTCCGTGAATTTGGACATTCGAGAGATACACTATTTAATTTAAATGTACCAAATATACAGTTAGGGTTCTTAAAATCAATTTTAATCTTAATATATTCTAGAAAAAGGCCATAAAAAGTTCGTTTTTAGATGCGAGGCATCTTATTTTTTTTGTTTTCGGACACTGTCAAGAGAAATGCGACTGGCAGACAATGCAAAACTCGGAATATAAAAAAAGTAGATCCGAAAAGAGGTCGCATGTATGAAAGTATTTGCCGGTAATTAAAGGTTATTGTTGATGTAACGGCTGTTTTCAATGATTCCTTTTCTAAACGATTGGCATTGTTTTGTTTCTTTTAAATATAAATTAGGTTACTAAGAGGTTAGGAGCGGGCACACACCTTTGACAAAACTATCGCTCAATTGTTGCGATTGTCGATTGTTTCGTAGCCAATTTAACTATTCAGTTGCTCAACTGATTAGTGTACGCACTTTCATATAAGTTCATAGGAATCAAAGGAAGACTAAAGAGTTGTGCGATAGTTTAGTCCAAGGTGTGAGCGCGCTTTTATTTTATTTCTAAGAAATGCATTTTTAAGTTCTAAAACTAATGTGCATTAGTATTCAATATAAACTTATTGAAGTTAGAAATCTAGTTTTGAATGCAGTAAATAATTTGCTAACTAAACATTAACATTTGCTATACAAATAAAGTATGTCAAACTTATTCTTAGGCGTTTAAGTAATAAATTGGTCAGTCATATAGTCATGTTAAAGTGTACAGTCAGCTACATAAATATGTAAGCTTATGATTTCAAAAACATTTATACGCGTGACTGTCCATATGATTCCTATCATAAAATATGTTGACAAATACGTGCATACATATTTTGGAAACCGAAGCTGTAATATTTCTAAAGTTCGGTAAACATACAGAAATTTTTGAAGCTGATTGTACCACGTTTTTGTTCGTATACATTTTAAAGTTAGACTTTAATTAAAAGACAACGGTCACATTTTCTTCACGAAAGCAAGTTTTGTCGCAAAATTAATATAAAAAAGCGTATATTGCTTTGATCAATCATTGGCAGCTGTCGAAACTGGCAATTTAGTAAATGACAGATCGTCCCAATTCCCCGTACACTTTATGAAATGAGGGATCGTCACTTCCTGCGACATATTTATACACAACATACATCTATGAAGTGTTACATCGTAAAGTATCAACTTTTTTCGCTTTAAAAGAATAGTTCGAGAGATTGAATATTGTCATTCGTCATCAAATAGCCCTTGTCCCTACGATGGGTCGGCACAGTATGCTGCTCTACCATATCTGAAATCCACTCTTTAAGCGTGTCCTCTTTCTCACAATCCATCTATATCGGTCTTCCTCCTTTGTGGCCATCCACATTCAATCTTAACACATTCTGGTTTATGTCTCCATCCTTACCACGACAACCTTTTGCTTCTCAATTCCTCGACCTTTAAGGTTGAATATTGGCTGCAAACAAACAGTCCAGATGATGAATACTTACGTTTCCATGAGCGGGTGTAAGGTCCGGTTTAAGGGCGAGGACACGCACATGCAGGGTATCACCAGGGCGGAGACGCGCGCGTTGCACGTGCAGCACCAGTACGCGTGCGCCAGCCACGCGCACCTTTAGTCGACGTTCCCACGTGCATCCTGCCTCCGGGTACCTAGGTCACTAAAGACTTTAAAACACTAGACTTGAAAGTTTGTTTAAATTAATAAGTTGGCAAACAAGCAAACAGCTATCTGGATCAAACTGGCGAAGCGACCGCTGCCCAGACATTCGCAATTGCGGATGCGTTGCCTACCCTTATCGACGGAAGGGGAGACGCACAGGAAGATATTTCCTATGCGGAGTCAAGTTCATGTTCCAAGGATGGGAAGGAAAAGGGACTAAAGATGGGCCGCCGCTACTATCATAAGACGAAACGCGGAATTGCTCCCACTTCATGCTTGTTTTCTATTTAGTCGCGGTGTTTCACCGGGTGAGATGACCCATTCGTGTGAAGTTAAAGCGGGTTATACCATTGTTAAAAGTACGTTAAAAGATCATTCAGACTAATAAACAGTTTTTAGGATACTACAATTACGTAAGAGACGTTGAAATTAGTGGTATTTTAATCGCCTGGAATGAAGACTTTCAAACAAACGGAGAAAATACCGACGGAAATAACGCCTAAAATATAATGAAGTCCTGTCTTATAAATTCCAGTGTCAATAAATCTTCGTATATCGAAGTTTTGACCGCTAGATTTATCGGTAGAGGGCGCTGCGTAGATAAAACAGTTTTACCATATATTCAGATTAAAATCTTTAATCTAGATTAACTTGATATATGGAAAGTGGATTTTAGTGTTGGCGAAAGTATAGACTTGTTAACTAACGTTATAATTTAAAGCGAATATTGAACTTGGATGCAAGGGCGGATCCAGCTTTGGCGCCACGGGGTGGTCACATAGTCGTGGTCAAGTCAAGAGCTTGACAAAATATGTAAATATATTTTGTCAAGCCCTTGACCAACCAGCTCAGGGGGGGGGGGTCATGTCCCCATAATCCCAAGGTTGGTCAAGGGCTTTGCTTTGATGTCAATGGTTTTCTCTAGTATATATGCCCGTTTCATGCATTTAGTAACGCTTGACTTTATGAGCTGTTAATCGATTTGTATTCTTCCCGGAATTATAATGAGTAAAAACAATTGTATATTGATTTGTTTAATGAACTATTATTTTTGAATGACTTATTGCTTGTGTTTATCAACAAACACCTCGAGTGTTATCAACACTGTACCATAAGGTATAGTGTTGATAACACTCGAGGTGTTTGACGTTCATACATAAAAATGTACAGTCAGCTGGGTATTTTTTAGAAACTGATATATGACGCTATTTTTGTACCCGAAGGCGTATACTAGTTTCTAAAGCATCCTAATTGTATACATGTATGTAGCTGACTGTACAAATCTAAACATTGAATTAAAAGTACAATTATTTTGACTAGCGTATATGGTAGCGTGGCCGAGCGGTCTAAGGCGCTGGTTTAAGGCACCAGTCTCTTCGGAGGCGTGGGTTCGAATCCCACCGCTGCCAAGACATTTTTTTTGATACACTTACCGCATATTGACAATGAGATCAGCTTTTGTGTTGGGTCGCAACGGCACTGATATATCGAGGCAGCCACCATCACCTGAGAGTAATAAGTAGTCAATATCTTTCGTATTAAGGTCTCAAGTTCACTGACCTCTAAAGATTGGACATAACATCTTTTGTTTGACGCCTTAAAACGACAGTTCAAATAAGAGCGTCCGCACATCTGTAACTAAACTATCGCACAACTGTTTACTTTCACTTTGATTCCTTGCTTGCATGTGCGTACACGACTCGAGTTTTGTCAAACAACTGAATTGGCTGCAAAACAATCGACAATCACACAACAATTGTGCGATAGTTTCATGAAATAACCACAATATCCCACCGACCAAAAGACCTTAGTGCCTGAATCCGGGTGTAATAAGTACCTGGTGGAAGATCCCTGGCGGCGGTGGTAGATTCTCCGTTATCAGCGAGTAGTGTGATCACCATGCGGGCTGGACCTTCGGGATGGAAACGGGAAATGCAGACCCTGTTTACGCCGCCAGCACTCAGCACCCCCGGCGCCAGGAATAAGTGGTTTTTATCCGTGCACGGGACATTTCTAGAAGAAAAGAAGACTGGAATCGTACAACGTACTTTCGGTAAGGCCAGTACAGTTTTCAGAAGCGTTCAATAATTGGATTGGCAACTGGCAAAGTGTTGATAATTACTAGCGCCATTGACTATACAATCTACGCCTGCACATCGAACTGTCCAACTGCACTGGACAAGTATGTACGGCGCATTAAATTTTTAGTATGTTTGTACCAAATAAACTCAAAAACTACTGGCCAGATATAAAATTCTTTCACCATTACAATGCAAGAATAACCCAGAGTAAAATAAACTGTATTTAATGTTGTTATAGAACATTTAAATAACAAATATACTTGTAAAATACTACCACTTGTATACTAACAAATAATTGTTGTCCATAATTTTAAATATACGACTAAGCCGTATTTTTATAACATTTATAAACAATTATGAGAAATACATATGGAATGATTAGCATCACATAACAAACGTTAGGTTTGTCTTTTATTTGCGTTACATACGCTCTGCGCGGGAAATGAATTGCACAGACTATACATAGAACATGCTTGACTCATTTCGCGTGTAGTTAAAATAAAAGCTATTTAAGTGCTTGTTAAATGAAGCTGGTGAATTTACCCTAAATTGTATGAGATTAAAGGGAACACAATACTGATATTTAAGATTCGAACGATGTATCGTTCGAGTTTCGAGTTTCGATACCGTTCTGATATCTAACCGTTTGTAAACAATATCAGTAATTGAAGATATACCTACAAATTGCATTTATATTAAAAAGATACCTTAGCAGATTTGTATTGAATTTAATTTTTAATTTAACGTACATACTAATTATAATTAAGTAGTATAACATTTTAGAAAAAACAAAAAGCGCGCGTAATAAAAACAAAAACTATTTTGTTAGATTCATATTTCTCACCTAGTCAATGTTACACAATTTAAAAAATAAAAAAGTAATGAACACATTATTCTACTGCATAAAAGGAGATTCAACGATTTTATTTTGTTTATAAACAAACCTGCTATTATCCTGCGTACTTCCAAACACGTGGGCGGATGCCGACAAAAAGAAACACAAAAACCAAATCATGTCTGTAAAACTGCACTAAACTACTCTTAAATAAATAATTTAGTAGCAAACTCTATTCTGATTCACATTTTTTGTAATTACATGTTTTACAATTTCAAAACACAAGATATTAGAGTCCAAAAAACTGAATAAGTAAACTTCTAATTATAAAAATAAAATGACCATCTTTTGACAATAAACAGTATTAATCACTGAATCTATCATCGATATAATTTATTAATTATGGTAAATAAATAATAAACGTTTAACTAAATACTTCAGAACGATATGTCGATCGTCTCGCGTACGATTGCTAACTGACCGTCGCGTGCGCAGAGGTCGCGCGAATCATTGCAGACGCGCTCAACTTTTTTTATTTCTTTGTAACCGCCATTACCGCCAGTTGGCGTAATTAAAAATCTATAATTACATTACTTATTAAGTACTTCAATCATTTCTTAAGAGGAAGTCATAAATATAATTTGTTGTGAAAATATTATTTTTAGTTAGAAAAGGCATACATTTCAGCTTTAACTCCTCAGTTATTACAAAAAAATAATGAGCTAGCTATTGTCCGCCCGATGCATCGTCCGATGTTACTCATAGATAAATTATCTTTCTAACGGCGTAAGAAATTTTTAAATCGGTCCAGTAGTTTTTGAGTCATTTCAATCCATACAAAAATACAATTCTTTCCTCTTTATAATATTAGTACATATATGTAGACTAGTAAATAGTAAAGATAAGTAATTTTAAAGAGTTTATAACCTCAATCCGAACTTTGCCTATCCTTTTTAATAGCTATGTGGTGTATTTTATTCAAGTGCTTAAATTTGATTTCTGCAATTCCTGAGAAAATAACTTCCAAAATCTATAGTACAGTTACAGCAATTATTAAAGTTTATTGCGTTGTCAGTTTTGCTTCAGAAATAACATAAACACAAACTCGCCGACAATGGGACTCGACTCGGGTCTGATTGATGTGGATTTTATAACGGTATAAATAAATATACGTAAATGCGTGTCATGATTGCTTTTGTCGTGTTATTTTGGGTCATCTGGGTGCTACGGATAATTGAAAATCATTTTTAAATCATGTAACAAACAACAAATAATTGTTTTCAATAACTAATTCGCACAATTTTCTGTCATAAAAGTCGGACTTAATCAAATTGTTCGTAATATTAAAAGAGACAAGTTTTCAAAGATTTGTAGAGATTTTTAATTAATGATAGTCTGATCTCAATCCTTTGTTTATGCTTTCTATTTATTTTGATTTTATTCTAATAATCTTATAGAAAATTGACGTAAAGTACCAATTACGGTAGTAATATTTGATAAGTAGTGATTTTAAAATAATAGCATGTTACAAAATGTTGGGCTCCACTGGCCAGGTTGAAAGGTCGTGCAATGACCGATTCAAACAACGATTGTTATTAATCTGTAGAAATACGTCAATTGTTAATTAGAATATTGTTGAGGCATGATTCTGATCAGACTATTGTTAGCAAAGTGACAAAAAGCGGCTTACAATTTATGTATTTGCAAATGATTTTGTTAATTGGTCCTTACTGTTTTTGATACAAATGGGGTATTACAATAAACACAACAACAAGAATTTGCTTAAGAAAACATTTTTAAAGAAAAATAATACGGGTTACCTAAATTTTTATTTTGATTTAACTATCTTTATAGCATTTACAAAATGTTTTAGGTTAATTAAATTTAAATTGGATTTAATTAAAAATAGCTTGGATTAATTACAGCGCCATCTAAGGATAGTATTATAGTATGAAATAATTGTCCTGATACAAGTAAACCAATATTCTTTTCGTTTTAAAAGTAAATAATAGATGGCGCTTATACAAATTATAAATTTAATGAGTTCACAGCAAAAAAAGTAGACAATCATTTTTATTATGGCTTGTACCCAAAATTACTTTTTCGACTTTTAGATTGGAATAACAATTCGAGTCCGGATTTTCACATTAGTAAATATATTTTTATCGATTGTTTTTATTTAATTATTCCATTTAGAGAGAGCAGAGAAAAACCTTAATTACAATGGTTATCGAATATTTTTTTTAATTTCAGAGTGGACATTAAATAAATCAGTTGGTAGATTAAGTTTCAGTTTATATACAGTTTAGATAATATTTTATTATACGCATTTTTAAGTAAGTTTAATATTGTACGCGGAGTATAATCCAGGCAATAATAGAGTCGTATATAACAGAGGGTCGGCAGGCTTAGTGCAGATTATGTGCCGGCGTTCACAGGCTTATTCTGGATCACAATTTATTATCATTACTAATTACGATGCGACGGTTTTATTTTAAATATTACGGATGTGGATATTAAAATCGACCTAAAAATATTAACTAAAAAGATGGTCAGCCATTGTGAACAAGGAGAAAACTTGTGGTAATTTGGATAAATTTTAATTATTACTAGTACTGTTGCTATTATATGAAGCCTCATATAATTTTTATGATACTGAAAATATTCGTATGTTAAATATTTTTATTATTTTATGCAAATTTAAATATTCGTGCTCATGAATTAATTACGTAATGCGTTTCCGGTCTGTTGATGGCGGCTGTATGTCATACGTGACGTCACGCGCTACGCGGCGTCGTAGTCGAAAGCGACGGGAGCCTTCATAATTTATTACCTTCGCATACTATTGAATATAATATAAAATTTACGTTTGACTTAACGCTAATTAAAGTCCTGAATTCAATAAAAGATGCTAAACGACTAAAAAGATTTTCTGTGAATCTGTTTTTATCGCAGCAATTTAGTAGCGGAAATATTTCAAATCAAGCATTTTCTGTGGCCTAATAATTATTTTCTAGGTATTATTTTTATTATTATTGAATTAATAAAAATTGTGTAAAAATGTATCTTGGCAGCGGTGGGATTCGAACCCACGCCTCCGAAGAGACTGGTGCCTTAAACCAGCGCCTTAGACCGCTCGGCCACGCTACCATGTACGAAGCAGCTTGGAATGCATGATAAAATTAGAAAAAAACTTACTTTTATTTATTTTATCTAAGTTTGTTCTGGAAATTTCTCTGATATTAACGATAAATATGCGAAAAGTAAAGGCATATTTTTATATCTATACTTCTATACTAATATAATAAAGCGTAAACACACACTTCTTGTTGCCTAAGATGTCAGCAATTACAGCATATTTTTTAATAACTCTTTTTAAATAAAAAGCCCGACACTTACGTCACGCTTTAGGCTATATATTTCACGCCATTAAATTTAGGGGGTAAATATTTTGGATAAAAGCCCTAATGTGAGAAAGAGGCCATAAGTTGCTGCCAACATCAAGCAAGATTGCCATGGTTTGTCATAATGTCATGTCACTTTAACATTTGATGATTTGACAAATGTAAACAATACAATAAATTTTTCATAATTTTATGCAAATGAAGTCGCACGTGAACGACTACTATAGTATGTCTTACTTTCTGTTTCAGATCTTAATTTTATTGACGTGGGCTTAGTAAGGTTTAGATAATCGTCCGAAGTTATCTCAGCTCGTCCATTCCAGGTAATTAATTATTTAATGAATCGGATTTAGTTAACCTTTTGTTAACCTTTTAGCATTGTGTTTATATTCGTTAGAATTTACATGGTTATTATCTTTGTGTTTAATTTACTTTTTTATTTAAGTGGAAATTAAATGTCATTTACTATAATAAGTGTGAGTTGCACCATATCGCCGGTTATCGTTCAAATTAAAATTATTTGTAACGGTAATATTTGGAATAACCTTAAATTTTTTTTCTAATAAATGGAACCGATAATTATAAATGTATTCGGATAATATAACAGTTTAAATATGCATCTACGCACATTATTTTTTTCAAGATTATACACTGAACCAGCTCGATATAATTTACACGGAAAAATGCCCGTTTTTCGTATTTCCTGGGTAACCCTTGCCTTAATATTGACACACTTGTTGACATCATTTGACACCTATGATCCCTAAAATAGAACGAATCGCGTTACGTTAAGTATACAATATAAATAATTAATGAAGAAAATAGTAATACAATATCTAAAAACGCTACATTTCTAAGTTAATTAAGACAATTTGATCTAAAAGCTAGCGTTTTACAATTTCAGTACAAAGAAAACGTTAAATCAAGCTGAAACTTTCAATAATTCATCTTAATGGAATTAAAAGTGAATAAATCAGGAATTTTCTAAAGCTGTACGACTTTGATAAGTGAATAGAAAATCTGTCTGGGGACGGTAAAATTAATAATTTTTCCTCTGCTTTTTTTATCCTACACTAGCTTTCGCCCACGACTTCGTCCGCGTGGAATTGAAGAAAACAAAAGCGAATAGACTATGTGTTCTTCCAGAGTATCTCCTATATCTATGCCAAATTTTATCGAGATCAGTTTAGGCTACAAACTCTAACAAACATCCATCGAAACTTTCTCATCTATACTTCTATACTATTATAATAAAGCGTAAACACACACTTCTTTGTTGCCTAAGATGTCAGCAATTACAGAATGTTTTTGAATAATTCTTTCTTTAATGAAAAGCCCTACACTTACGTCACGCTTACGACTATATGTTTTCACACTATTGAACTTGGGGGTAAATATTTTGGATAAAACCCCTAATGTGGGAAAGAGACCATAAGTTGCTGCCAACATCAAGGAAGCAAGATTGGCAAGGTTTGTCATGCTAATTTGACACATGTAATACAATAAAATTTTCATAATTTTATGCGGCTGAAGTCGCAAGGAAACACCTAGTTTATAATATTAGTATACTACTAGTGTTAATGTTTAAGTATTCGACCTATGTCAATCAAAATTAAGTGATTTCACTTTTCACCCTGAAAGTAGTAACTTTTCCCAACTTGTCCGATGTTTCCAAACAAAATCAAAGTTTTAAATATTTAAAACGTTAATTAAAAGTTTTTAACCCTTTATAGAAATGTTTTTGACTATTTCGAAGTACGTTAAAACTAAATATAGTTTAAACGTCAAGTTGAAAATTAATAAGTATCAAAAATTTGCTTGATTTTGTAACTTAACATCTAACAAAGTTATACAAGCACCAAACAAAACATAGGGGAAAAAATGCACTCTTTTTCATAATGTATACTAAATGCCAAAAAGTAGATTTAAAATGTATTTATATTTCAAAAGTATTTTTACAGTGATAGTGCCCGCTTTTACATCTTAGCAAGAATGGGCCAGCACGCCCGGTGTAATACCACGACCACACAGAAGATAGGCGTGAAATGGAAGCAATTCCGTGTT